TTCTAATTTCATACACCGCTTTCGTCTCAAAGTCTACTATAATTGTAGTAACACAGTAGGTACCTACAATTTATATATAAACTCCTAATAAAATTAAGTCACTTTTATTATATAGCACTTAGTATAGAGATCTATCTAATTAAAGAACTCTATAATCTAATTCTAGTTTATACCCATTAACCTACCTTCTTCTACCTCATCTTTAATAATTATTCTTATCTAAACCCCTCCGTTTTATCTATTTTTCTCGTTATTTTTATTATTTAAGCTATCGATATAGCCTCTCTAGGCTTCGATTACCTTAAATCTAACAATTCAGACGATCCCGACCGTATTCTTAAGTCTCTACCCCCCGCTATACCAAGCACTAATCCTAGGCTAGGCCTAAGCACTAAGCTAAGCACTAAACTAAGTACCGAGTCTATATTAAGCTTTATATTCCCGCTTCCGCTAATAGACCAGATATACTCTACCTCTAAAGAAGCGATTATCTTAATTAATACCTTTACACGCCTATATAGGTATACAGTCACCTCTCTATACTCGAAAAATACTAAAAAAGGCGTAAAAAAGACTATTTATCTCTACTATAACCATAGTCGTAAGGTTATATAGGACAAAGATCCCCCTATAAAGCGTTAGAATACTAATACACTTATAATTAGATACCCCTTTATAATCGTACTTTACTTTAATCTCTATACTAGGCTTTAGTATATAATAATCAAGCATTCTATGTCTACACATAACTATAAACCTTTACCGCCGTTAACCTATCCTACTATTAGGGCCCTAGAGCTTACCTATAAGAAAGATAAGATTAAGAACGCACTTCGACAAAGCTATATAACCCGCTAAATTCTTACTAAATTACGTAATGCTGATCCTAATAACGTATTTCACTACCGAGCTGCGCACACCCCCGAGCTGCGCAGCCCAGAACACATAGTGGAAGCGATAAATTACAATATAATATTTCAACAACGGTTGTCTACATCAGTTTTTCCTTGTAGCCAAATGCTTTTTATGTGATATCTAGCCACTTATTAGAATTTAGGGGACTTTAACAAACTGGTGACTGAGATATATATATTTCAAGAGTTTAGCAATGTATTTTTCGATACCATAACAATGCAAGCTCTCGATTTATTTAAAACTGATATAAGATATTTGAAATGCTTATCAATTGCTATCAGCGAGTAATAAAGTCAAATAAAAGCGTTGGTTGCTGAAATATCATGTCTTAATTTATCGCTTTGACTATTTGTTCTGGGCTGCGCAGCTCGGTGGTTTGCGCAGCTCGGTAGTGAAATACGTTAGTACAATTATTATGTAAGATATCTATAATATATATAAGAAGCTAAATTAGATCTTTCTTACTAGCTATATACCAATCTAAGCGCTTTTATAAGAACTTCTAAAGGATAGTAACTAGATTTTTAAAGTATAAAATTAATAACTAATTCTATATCTCTACACTATTCTATATACACAAGTCGAGTATCAAAATACTATAAATAAACCTATAGGTAATCTCTATAGATTATATATATAAGACTAATTAATACAGTCTTCCTCTTCTTAATATTATAGGATTTGCTATAATAGGATCTACCTTCTATACTAGATTTGCCTTTATATATAATAAGAGGGAGGATACGTATAAAGTTATACTTAGCTATCTTACTAAAGTATACGAATCCCTTAGTCTTAATCCCCCTTACCTAAGTACGATTCTTACTAATAAAGAATAAGCTTTAATTAATACTATTAAGAGTGTATTCCTAGAGACAAAGTATATACTCTATATCTAGTATATTAATATAAAGATTATAGGTATTAGTCGCCGCCTTCTTACTAATCAAGTTATACAAGCCTATCGGGATTATAATTAGTCTACCGAGGCCTAGTCTACTAAGGCTTAGTAAGCTAAAGAGGATTAAGAAAAGGTCGATAAAGGGTAGAAAAAAATACTAAAATAGTAGAATCATAATTTATACTACTACTCTTGAAGAGTATTAGCGCTAGTAAGAATACTTTTAAGAAAATTATAGTAATCTACTCTTCTAACCCCTTATCGAATATATATAAACTAAATAGCTTAACAACTACCCTAAGCGTTTCCTTTATATTTATACCTCTCAATACCTTCATCTTAATAAAATTGCGACCTCCTGCGCTAAAGGTACTTATTAGCTATTAAAGCTTAGCCTCTAAGTATTAAATAATAATTTACTAGTTATCCTTCGCAGTTTCGACTATATAATTAACCTCTAATTCGCTAAGGTTTAGTATAGAATTAATACTCAGAAAATTCAAAGGCTAATAAAGAAAGTCCTACTACTTTACCAGTTACTTACTAATCGGATCTTAGTATAGGCGATTTAACTAATAAAAGAGGTTTATAAGAGATATCTACTAGAAAGGGAAGAAGGAAAGCGACTAATCTACCCTATCTATAACTATAATTCGAAGAATACCTCTAGATTTCCTTATATTTATATTATTAAGGCCTATAATAATAAGAAGAAGTAGCTCGAACCAAAACTTTATTATTAGCATTAGCATTTATATAGTGTTGATAATACTCCTCCTATTAATCCCGCCCTTCTTATACAGGACCCTCTTCATATATATTATCGAGGACGGCCCCAAGGTATACAAAACTTTAGGATTAGTACCCAAGCGATATAAGCTACCCAATCTTCTGTCGACCTATTAACCCAAACCTAGGCTCTAGAGAGCTCCTCTATCTACCGAGACCTATTATTATAGGAATCAAGCCGGGGATAGGTTCGCGGTACACCCCGGGGGCGTACTCGCGGTTAGGGTCGAGGTACTACTACTAGGGGTACTAATACTAGGGGTATTAATAATAGGGGTACTCGTACTCGCGGTAGGGGTCGAGGTCAGGGACAAGGACGCGGTTAGGGACGCGCGGTAGAGAGTACCTAAGCAAGAGAATAATATATTTGTAGAGTATAAGCAATAATTATAGAGAAATATATGATTTTTTCTAATTAAAATGCATATCTTTTCACTATATAAACTAGAATTATTATAGTAGTAGCAGAATATATAGCAGTATGAAATTAGACTAGCAGAAATTATGGCAGAAATCCTAGTCGCACCTAGTCGGGAAGGCGGTACTAAAAAATCAGGCAGGGGGGTATCGAATTACTAAAAGGGGTGTCGAATTACAGGGAGGGGGTGTCTCTATACCAATCCCCAATATATATCAATAATTATACCTCTAGGTACTTTTTTAAAGTAAAAATAGGTAGTTTTGAATATTTATATTAGTGAATAGTCACTGAATCCTAATTATAAAGATAAAAGACTTAGGTCTAGAATCTAGATATAGCTTATACACTTGTAAAGAACAGTATTTTATCGACTTATATAGTATTTTATACAACCTAAATAGGTAGTATCTTAGCAAATTATGTAGGAACGGTACTATATAGAGACTACCGTTGGTACCGCAGCACCATACGGTACCGAGACCGAGTAACGGTACCAAAACCTGTAAAATCACGCGGTACCCCGCGACACCGAGCAACGTTACCAAAATTAGCTTGGTACCGCGTGACTTGTCAAGGCCTAGGCCTTAGCAAACAGCAACAACAAACTATACAAACTTCCCACTGCTTCTATCCCAATCTAGAATCCCAACCGAAGTCGGGATTCAGTAGCAGAATCCTTCTAACCGCGGTCAAAGATTCTTTCATAATCAGTTTTGACCAAGGTCAGAAACTCCTGCTAGGTGGAAGCTAGCTCAGATTGTGACAGCCGTAGCCACTTAAGAATAATTATTGTACCTCGGCTCTTACAATTAAAAGCTCCTTACATAGCTCCCTCTCTATATCACGTTGTTCGACGGAATGGGAGTACTTAGCTGCTGTAAGTAGTTGAGATCGGCATAAGTGAGGACAGATTCGAACTACACTATTTCACGCTATTAAGCTCTGTCAGCCACCCCTCTATCATAAACCGCGTGAGTTCTGCTTTACATAAGTAGGCGCAATGTGGCTGGCTGAAGTGGTACATAATCATGACCCCTTGCCTTTCAACCCCCTGAGCAGATATAGCCCCACATATTTTGACGCTAGACGGGCCGACGGGCCGCCAGCTGCACACGACCGAGTTGGACCGCGGCGAACTACGTACGTATGTACTGATCAAAAAATGGAAAGTTTTCCGGCCCGCATGCCTGAGGGTAACCAGTGTTACTTACCAAGCTGGTCTGAAATGAGCGTAATTGTACGCGTGACGATAATTCATGTGTTCTACTCTTGACTCTGCGACAGCACAGCCCCAGTATCTACACTAGATGCTAGCCTGGAATACTGCCCTTAGAGGCTGACGAAGGATCTTTTAAGTCGGATGGCATTGATGAGATAAGGTTAACTACATTACGCCTAAAACATTGACGTACGGCAGATTTACAGTTTCACAGAATATGATATGATGGTTTGATAATACGGTCCATAATAATGAAATAGTGCAATTTGAATGGTGCGCCAAGAAAGCCGCATTCAGCTTCCCCCACTGGCTAGGTAACTTTGATTGTCTATAGCAAACCGACCTGTCGCCTCCAGCGCTCGGCAGACACATTGTCACCTGCTCGTGGTTTCCGGCGACAGTACTCACCATTCTCGTGAGGAGACTAAAAAAGTTTCCCCTTCGACGACGATTGTACAAATGTATTAGTATTCCTCAGCGCATCCGCGCCCGCCCGACTCCACAGACGCGCGGGAATCGTACTGTCATTGAACCGAAACTTCGTCCTATAGACACGAGCGCGGTCATACAACGCCTGGATTTACGTGTTAGGTGTTCTCTTTGCTGTATTCCAAACCATGGCAGAGCCATTAGACATCCTATCGGTACCTCTACTTGTTATCGGCATCTCTACTTTGACAGTTCAACAACAAAAGGTCCACTGACTATTCGCATTTTCTATTTGATCTGGCCCATAAGGGGAATGGACTTGCCATCTACCAACTAATGACCTTGATATGATCCTGATCGTAGGATCCATCAAATCGCACCTTTGCATGGACATTCAGATAGAGTGTATCGCCATCCACGTAGAACTTGAGGGAACCTGAAACAATCCAGAGATCAACCTTGATCTCGATTCCATCCTTCAAGCTTCCAGTGAATGTACCTAGATCGATACCGAGGATAGATACGGTAAGGGATATAACGCCTGTATCGAGGTCGATATAACCGTCAACCTATTTTTTTTGCATCAGTTAGCACTTACTATTGTCAAAGAAAGTACGAGACTGTCCCAGTACTCTGTGGGATTAACATACAGAAACGATTTCCCAGCTGAAGTGGATCGGGATCCGAATGTCATCTCTTGGTGGCTGGGCCCGAAGTTCCTTCGGTTGGGAGACCGCGAATTGGCCCCTCCCCTGGTCCTGCACCCTGACGATGGTTCCTGTACTGAATGTGAGCGGAGATGTACAAACTACAATCTCAACAATATAAATGCATACCGGCATGAACTCGAGACATGATGAAGGTAATCGGCTTCTGGTTACTGATTGAAAGTTGGTGCAAATCAGAGACGGAAAATTATCTTCGAAAGGCGTATGAAAGACCTATGAACAGAAGCTCAAAGACACTGGGAATTGCATTCAATTTATAACACAACTTCTATGTATAAAGTAACGGTTGGATTCTTGTCCGGATTTGCACTACACCCCTACCTTGACTTGAAGAATGTTAGAAAACCCTGCGTATAACCTCTGGAGGTTACATTGTATGGCCTAGAACTGGTAAATGACGCTTTTTTGACCATTACAACCTGGTAAAAAGTAGGAGGCCTTCCCGCATGCATCCTCCGGCCTGGGGAATGACGATGATGTTCTGACTTCCCAAGTACCACAAGCTTTTCGGTAATGTGGTTGGCCCAGCTATGCCATTGCTTGCACTACTCTCGGTCTTTGTAGTTACGATGAACATTTACAACGTGGTATGAAAATAAAATTTCTGTCTTATGGAGATTAAGTCATGACATCTATATACGAGGATGAGCTGTTTAACGGTTGACGGGTGTGACGAACTGCTGACGTTGTCAGCCTTTGGCTCCCAAGGCGTGGTTAATCACAGTTCAAGAATAGTATATGTCTGTGTCTAGCTCAGCTAAGATTTGCAGGGACCTTCTTTTTCGCCAAGGGGACGGCTATGTGTATAATGCTGAATGAAGAACGTGCCTTGGAATCTTGGGGCTATTAAAGTCCTTCAATGCAACCGAACGCCCTGTGCCCTCCATAACATTGTATCATCACTCATTGCTGGCATTCCGAAGGAGCCGACTTTGATACTACATATAGTTTTACCCAAGACAGTCTATCCCTTGTCTATCTTGGACGGACCACAGTACTAAGGGACTCCATGGGAATGAGAATAAAGCAGAAATATAGACCAAAAAGGAGCAGAAGCCGCATTCATCGACTAGCGGGACATACTTGATGGGTTATAGTCGCCATATTTGTCATGGTAGAGACACTCCATTCCTAGCTTCTTGATTAGGACGCGCGAAAGATGAATGACAACATGCATATGCATTAGGCTATTTCCACCATTACTGCATAGAAGGGGGCTAATTTGCGTGCTTCAGCAACAATAAAAAACTGGGTGCAAAAAGCGAGTCTGTTTGCCCCATCGCCATAATGGGATCTCCCATCATTAGGGAAGCGAATAGGACATGAAATAATTGGTGCATTATTGTCATATTTCCAAATACGGGTTACTTGCTATGGAGGGGTACTGTGAGAATCATGCTGAGGTTCCGCGTTGGACATAATGTTACATTTTCATACGAATGTGGCAATGCAGAGAATGACTGCTGATGTACACCCTTAGCTCCACCGAGTTCAGCCTGCAATACAGCCAACAGTCCTCACCGAAGCGTACCGATATGTCAGTACTTCATAGAGTGCTATGGTATTCTGTGAGCTTGTATATACCTTGATGGGCACCTACAAAATTGGTATAGTAAGCTTAGAGCGGCCAATTGAAACCACTGACTACTGCCTTCACATCACCAATTAATTTAAATTCTAGAGTATGGCCCTGATGTATATATCTGCTAGGTCCAATCTGTCAATTGCTAGCATTTTTTGTCCCTATTTGTCTACTGAGGATATGAATCGCAAATTCAATCATGTATAGCAATCATATCTTTGCGGGATCAAGGTCCTCTCAACGATTTATAAAATTATTTCACTGCAGTTAACGCAGGAGTTCGCGTGAATAATTGCACGAGTACCTATCTTGGGCTAGATATCATTTTCTTTCACAGTCTAGTCAATTTTTTAATTCAGACCAGCCAGTGGGCTGTTGGTGGCTTTATCTCCGCTTGAAAACGAATCAAATCAATTCGACTTTTCGTCTCGGGGTTTCGAATCTATGCGTCACATCGTAAATCGCGGACCGGTTTGCAAACCAATATCTAGCTAGTGGAAGGGGTTGTCGAGATGCTCACTCCCTACAAGAATATCTCTGCAAATAAGATCTGAAATATCAAACGCATGTATGCCCAAAAAGCCATTACTATAAAACTATTCAAAATTTCAACGTATCTCGTCTTTCCCATGAGTTTTTGCCTTTAATAGAGAAACGTTGAATACCTGGTACATCTCTATCACCAGTAAAACGTTCCTCGACGTTTTTTCTGGAAGCTCCTATAGCATCAAGAGTCCGATGCCCCCGGTATCTTTGTGATGTGCAACCCCAGGAATTGGAGAGGTGCGGTAGTTGTACATGTAGTAATGGAGCTGACCATTACCGGGACGGAACCTAAGTCGTTCAAGAAAATGAGAATTGTCATAGAGGGCGAGCGCATTGAACACGTCAAACCCAGCCTATACTGCATTAGCATGCTTATAATCCATGAGGTGGGATATTTGGCGGAAATACTGACATTCTTAGCCAGAATAAGTGCGTCGTTAATCAACATTTGAAGGCGTTCTTGAAGTCCATTCTCCTCTCCAGTGAACGCAGTTTCAGATGCATAATAGTAAAGAGAGGCCATCCGTACATTGCTATGCTTGAAGCTTAGAAGTACCTTGGCATCAACACCGTAAAACGAGACAAATTCCGTGATCTTTTTGGTTCCAGGCGTCTCCACAACATATGGCCAGATGATCTGATCTGTGTTGCTGCCTGTAGCGTGTAGCCAATGACCGATATCTTCCCGACTGAAAACTGGATACAAATGGAAGCGGCGAAGGTATTTTCCGAGCAGGCACCAGACAGCATCGATATCTCCCGTCTGCATAGCACGCAACCGAGGAGTAGAAGTTTTGTCAGAAAGCCTGTACTTTGCAGCTTCTCGTGTCTTGCTGGGAATATAAGAGTGTGATATGAAGCCAGCCTCATAAAGCTTCACCCAGTTAAGTGGTCGATGGTAGGATTGGCAAGTGCCAATGGGAGTAGAGAGGACGTCTTTTGCTGTATATATGGCTTGGTATACACCATCTAGACAGCAACGACGGGTAACTTCCTTAATAAGCAGCGGTGCCAGCCTCTTTGACCGCAGCTTCTTGTGGATACAAAGGAAGTTGATCGCGGCAACCAGAAGACTCTGACCCCGGACATTGATTTTATTAGGGACACCGCAGATCGAAGCTACCAGCTTGCGCGATTGAGTAGCCCTCACACCAATATGCCATCCACTCCTCCAACCAGGTGTCATCAGAGCCCTATCACTTCCGTCAGTGAATGTTGAGTGATAATCTCAAGCAGGGCAACATCCATTTCTAGGTTATTGAGCACTTACCAGCGAAGAAATTCTTGCGAGTAACCAAAACGGAATGTACTGTTCCCGTCTTCCATATAGTGCTCAGAAAGGAGCTGCCACAATTCCTCAACCCCCCTTTCATCTGCCATGTCTAAGGTAGCCCATTCAAAGCCTTCGAGGAGAGGGGAAGCTTCCTTGGGTATTTGCTCAAGATCATAGAGCCTTATAGGACCATCTGGAGCCTCTTGGCTGCCTTGAATATGTATGACTGGCTGCGTACCCCAGAACCCGTTGAAACCAGCAACTCTGCGACTCTCGTCCACCACTGGGGGCCCAGCCACTGGCTCTTCAGTGCCTATTCTGTTCACGCTATTAGCTATACCTTGGTCCATTCAAACAAGCCATTTGGGCTCTACCACTTGGGGTCAAGACATACCCATTCATTGCCAAGGGTTACAAAGGCCAAGCAAGTCTTGCCACTGCTACCGCTTCACTGCAGGGTTATTGCTCTGCCTAGCTTTGTTCACAAGACAGTTCACAGGGATTTGTGAGACCTCAAAAGCCACTCCTTTAGTTAATAGGACTGGTTCTTCCTATCGCTGTCGGGTGGATGATGACTAGGACTAGACGCTGTGGAGCTATCGCTCTTATTTATCTAAAGCCCTACTTTCGCAGTATCACAAATTGACGAATGACGTACATTCAAATCTTCAATATGCCGGCCTCTCTACCCTTGTTATTTATCACGAGATACAACCCCAGCACCGTTCACGGAGACCCTACCTTGCATAAACATATCCTAAGCAGGGCTGAATCGCTAAAAGCGGCACACTCGAACTTCCAGGAGCTTGCCAGTACGTCAGGTCTATGTTCAAATGACGCCATGAATGCAGGTCTCTTGTGAAAGTCAACTGCAAACATCGACTTCATCTTGCCGATATGTTAAGCTTCAGGTTCTACCATTAACAGTGGTATTGCAGCATCAGGGAGTCTTATGGAGTAGGGACCGGCAGCAGCAGCGTGACGTCAAAGTAGCCATAGGTTGAACCATTACCTCCGCGAGCCACGGTGCTACAGTTTCATTCTCTATATTTGACCTACTGCATTCAGTGAGAACCCTGAGTTCTCAAGTCCAGGGAGTCTTATGGAGTAGGAACCGGCAGCAGCAGCTTGACGTCAAAGTAGCCATAGGTTGAACCATTACCTCCGCGAGCCACGTTGCTACAGTTTCATTCTCTATATTTGACCTACTGCATTCAGTGAGAACCCTTAGTTCTCGACTCCTGACGTTGATCATGCCATGACATCTAGGTACAACTTTTACACATCTGCCAACAGCCCAGCTTGGCACTCTAAATATAAAAACCCCCAATATTTTGTGTGCTCGATCCATCACAAGTATTTTCAAGAGTGAGCTCACCTTAATACATATTACTCAACCCATTTCCCATCACTATTTCAGGCTGCACCACCATGGGACATACTTTGACCGTCATCAACGACACTTCCGAGCGCTGCGTTGTAAAGGTTTACACCGTTGGACCCGGAATTCAAGTCGGCCCAGACTATCCCATTGATGCCGGCGGAAGAAAAGGTATTGACCTTGAGGCAGTGTGGTACGATATCGGGTTCAATTTCCCTGGCAAACCAGAAAAGTACATCAGGTAAGTTTCTTTGGCTTCAGTCAGCTGTGGCAGAGCTGCAGTCACTGATTAATGTTCGTAGAGTTTGGATGGGCGGCGATAGGACACTATACTGCAGTCAAGCCAATAGTGCCTCCGCTGCCAGTCTCAAGGCCAGTCCGTTCCTGTTTACGGAGGACCTATTGGAATACCTCAAGCTCCCCGGTACCAGCCCTACGGATGATCGCTCTAAGTCGACGGAGCTCATCCAAAAGGAGGCCAAAGTATCGTATGCGGCACTCGAGAAAGGATTGCAATTTTTCGCGGAGAATCAGGGCAACTGAAGCTTTTCCTACGGTGAGCACGACTGTTTCCAGCCTGGCATCGCCTCGTCCTCTGTCCTTGTCGATGCTAATTGCAAACATTTGGGAAAGAACAGAACCAGTACGCAAAGTCGCAATGGGAAAACTGAGGGGGGCGAAAGAGTCCAATGGACCTTTCTAAGTCAGGTCTAGTAAAAAAAAAAAAAAAAGTTGAAAATCTAAGAAAAAATCAAAAGAAGCCGCTGGCAAAGGTTTTGCTAGCAGCCAAAAAGGGTTTCCTCCTGGTGATACTTATAAATCACCATCAATTACAAGTAGAATGCTGGCGTAACTAAAATGGACGTACACACTTACATTCATAGTCGCTTAGCCGCAATGGTATTTTTCATCTGTCTCAGAAAAGGCGCTCCAAGTAATATTCGATGAGAGTGGTCGTGGCCGAGTAGGCATTTGGCTGAAGGGTAAAGGCATGTACCAGAAGGCCCAGCACTAATACACGAACATTCCCTTTGTTCGCATCTGGCGGCTTCTTTCCTTGATTGGGAATCGGTTTAGGAAAGTAAGCAGCAAATCGCCTAAGTTATGTTCATTCCATAAGCTCTCCGGCCAACCAAGTCTCATGTTAGAGTTATCTGGAACAAGTGTTACACGAAATAGCGAAGAACAAAGCGAGCGCGAGGTACGTACTGGGAATTCCGTACCTCGGGCCCATGCTATTGCCCATAACTATGGCCACCCAAGGTTGTTAGAGCATTCTCATAAAGTCCTTAAGCCATAACAATACGGATAAAAACGAGTCTAGAACACTAAGTACCCGAGAGAGAGGTACTCAGTTCGAATACATGCCGTATAATGCTTTCAGGTATCTTGCATCAGCTTGTAATGCTACTTGGAAAACAAGCAAGATTCCGTGTGCCGCTTGGTGACTATACGTGGATGCAAGGAGTAGCAAATTGTGGGCGTCCCTAGAATTTGGTCAATATGTTCATGAGCTCTCCATAACATTAATCTGAGCAGAAAGGGTTCGACCGAAAACCCAATACCAAGAACCCAAGATTAGTTTTTAGGCATGAGATTGCCAAGACCTGCCTAATTAGGTATATTTTTGTAATGTAATTTAGGTTTTGACTGGTTTCGATGGGTCCTTGGCATGCCAAAAATGGGTTGTTAAAATGGGTTTTGCCGAAGTCTAAAACCTTATTGGTGAAGCTTAAACCGACTGATGCAGAGGAATGTGTCCGCCTCCAGGGAATTCCTCAAGCCTGGCATTCTCCGCAATCCTCCCTTCCCGGGATGCCGCTAGGTTCGTCAAAATACGGGTCAAAATAACCTCCCGGGTACTTTGGACGTTGCATTCTACTAGTTAAAAACCAGTGTATATGGTACCCTCTATGGAATGATATTTACTATTGTTTATTTCATTTATTTCCCCTTTTATTCTGAATTGATATCAAAAGCCTGCTTATTTTTATCTATTTTATTAAATTTGTGGTAGGATATTGAAGTTTTCGAACTATATTAGATAGTTTAGTCCGAAATTCCTAATTAGGTTAGTGTTTAGTCCGAAATTCCTAATAAGGAATAGGCTAAAAATAATAAGTATATTTTCGACTAAACCCTTCTTGTATATTTCTAACTAAGCTCTTCTCTTATATTTTTAACTAAACTATACTTCTACCTTTTTAATAATACTAACCTCTTATCTCAATTAATAATATATCCTCCTAATAATTAAATTAGATATCTTAACTATAATTTCTTACTTTAATTATAGATTTAGGGTTAAAATATAGTAGTTTCCTATAGTTTAAGAAGTTAAAGGTTAATAGTCTAAAATATTGTGATCCCACAATAAATATATATTGGGTGATATGTATTTAATTGTGTGGACACCTACATATATATACCACTGCAACTAAGTCAATTCCATGAATTGACTTGGTTATGACCTTTTGGTCTAATGGGTAAATGCTTGGAGCAGTGGCCAGCGTATCTCAATATGTAAGAAGGCCTTAGTTGAAAATGTATAAGAAGAGCTTGGTTGAAAATATAGATATATTTTTATATATTTCTAACTATACCTTTCTCTTATATTTCTACTATATTATACTTATAACTATATATATAATATATTTTAATTAATACTCTTTATTACTAAATATTATACTCTTTCTATAGCTTCTAACTATGGTTAGAGATTATTAACTAGATAGTAAGAAGAGGTTAAAGTATTATATATATATATATATTATACTATTATACTATATTTCTAACTATAGTTAGAGAGTATAAAGTAGATAATAAAGAGGAGTAGAAATAGTATATATATAGTATACTACTAGTACTAGAAGCTCTAATAGGCCCTTTCCTCCCTAGTAAGATTTATAACTATATTTAGAAATTAGTTAAAAATATAGGAGAAGAGCTTAGTTAAAGATATAGGAGAAGAGCTTAGTTAAAGATATAGGAGAAGAGCTTAATAAAAAATGTATAAGAAGAGCTTGGTTGGAAATATATAAGAAGAGCTTGGTTAGAAATATATGAGAATATATCTATATTTTTAACTAAGCCCTTTTCCTATATTTTTAACTATACCTTTCTCTTATATTTTTAACTATACCTTTAGAATTATATATATAATAAATCCTAAATAATACTCTTTGTTATTAATAATCAATACTACTAATTAAATTTATTTTCTAACTATAGTTAGAAAATCTAGCTAGAATATACTATAGGGTATATAGTATTCTATACTTTATAATATCTTTATAGTAATATATTATATAATATTTACTAATCTTACCTAGTATATTAAATTCTAAAGCTTCTATATTAATTCCTCTATAGTACTTATATCTATTAGGTTACTATCCTCTATATCTTAAGTACTAGTAGCTAGGCCACTTACTTGTTACGCACTGCTAACTGGTCACAGTTAGGTTAGATGGGTTCCGGGTATACTTGCCTTAATACTCCTCGTGTATCCAACGTCAACGATCTGTCGCAACTGAGCTATTGCCTGCAAGGCCTTACTGTAGCCTAAGTCCTGTTGAGAGATCGAGGAACGATGCTAGTGAGAGCGCCGAGTAGATCTATACCGGGGTATTGGTCTGCTCGTGAGTGTTGTCAAGTTATAATCAAGTAAAGAGTCACAGTAGTCTAGAAGGTAAACACAAGTAACAATGTATGATTGAAGACGAAGAACTGAATTAAGTATATGAATGAGTGTCCTTATATATCTTTCGATTCCTACTCCTGGCGTGACTCCCTGGAGTTACCGCTGGAGTCGCCGTATACTCCTGCGTATACTTCTCTAAGTCGACGCGGGAGTCACGGTCACGTGTCCCTGGTTCTGTGTGCAGCGATTCCTGATGTAGGTGATATCCGATACCCTGAAGTACATACGTACCGGAAACCTCCTGGCAGGGAGTCTGATCAGGCTTGATCATGCTTTTGCTCACTGAGCGTGAATGGGTTTTCTCTTTCCTGAATACCTGGGGATACCAGAGTATTAGATACTGCACGTGATCTGCTGACAGATAGATTGGTTGGCTCTCGGTGGCCCATCTGTGCACCCGGTGGGGTACCATTGATTGGTGACGGGTAGCTCCGTAACATTACTTTAGTACTAGTAGGACCTATAATATTAGGGGGATACTAGAACCTAGTATATTAGATATTATTAGTAATAAACTCTAGGATTATAGGTAGACCTAGCTCTTATTAGTAGAAGTAGGAATTATTACTAAATATCTCTTTCTTAGCTACTATAAGGTTTTAGAATACCTTCTAGTATAGCTACTAGGTATTCTAGCTCTAGCCTTAGATATAGCCCTATACTACCTTATTACTATCTTTAAATATAATATCTAGCTCCCTCTATATATTAATAGTATCCTATTATATTTAGCTAATAAGTGTATTTAAGACTATACTTAAGCATTTTAGCTATATAGTTATAGGAAAAGTATAATCTATTTAACTACTAAATGTCACGATCTGAGACGCTTTGTAATAAGCACTACTAGCTTCTACCTAGTAGGAATTTCTGACCCTGGTCAGAAACTGATTATGAAAGAATCTTTAACCGCGGTTAGAAAGATTCTGCTACTAAATCCTGACTTCGGTTAGGGTTCCGAATTAGGATAGAAGGAGTGGGAAGTTTATATGGTTTATTATTATTATTTACTAAAGCCTATAAAAGGCTTCTGAGACTCGATTCTTTCTTCTTTCTTTCTTTCCTTTTCTTCTCTGTACTTAGTATTTCGTTGGAATGCACTCTTCTCCTTGAAAGAACTGGCTGGTAACAGCAAGAGCCCTGCATGCCGGGGCCATATTAGGAGACTATATATATGTATGTATATTTCTCTATCGCTTAGAAGTCCCAAATAAAAAATGATTCAGCGCCATTCATTCTCATAGTGCTATTAATACAGAACAAAAAAATACAACAGAAGATCGTGAGCCATAAGGATAATGAATTATAGTAAACAAAAGCTGGCTTAGTATCCACCCCAATGATAAGCGACATCGGATTGCTGATTCGATTGGGTAACTCGAGGGTCGATTTTTTAAGGGGTCAGCGGTTGGGGCACCAGTTAGATCTCTAGCGCCTGAGGCGCTACTGCTGCCAGCTGCGTTCCCGCCGAAATTCTGCCCAGCCGTTCAGCTATCAGTGCCTTGTTCGTTTTGCAAACTCGTCTGACAGGGCATGTTGTGCGTAGTAGCGGAGTGGGATTTATGCTCATGCGTAGCGGTGTGGTGGCTTTCCTCGCTAGTCTGTTGACCCCTAGGGTCGTAGTTGGTAGGTCGTGACTGAGATTTAGTTTCCTCTGTGGATTTGCTATAATCATCTTCGCTAGATAGATGATTGTCGACACCTGAGGTGTGAGGCTGTTCTTGAGAGGCTGTGTTGCCCGGGACGTTGCTGGAACGTTGAGGGTTGATACCTCCAGCGGATTGAGCACGATTGTCTATATATGCTATTAACATGACTTGCTCCAAAGAGAACTTAGCCAGGCTAACCCAAATCACTATCCACACGAGGATCCATCTTATTCGCCGTCCGTGAATCATGAGGACCGACATTTAGATCGCTTGAGCTAGCTTGACCAGCGCTGGTTAAGTCATCTCTGCCTGTTGCCGCCAATCCATAGTTGTCTGAGTTGGAATGGCCACCTCGACTGCCCATCTCAGAGTCGTCGCGATAGGTGCGAGGCTCATTGCCAGAGCGGGAATCAGAGCCGTAAGGATTGTTAGAGCCCACACTAGAAGATGTATTCATACTAGAGGAGTTGTGCTCGTTCGAACCGCTTTCTGTAGTTGGGGGGTGAGGAGTTTCATAGCTCTTATGAGAAGCTTGGGAGCCGCCGGCTCTAGGTGCATTCATGTCATGATCAGTCATGGCATCTTTGACTTTGTGTATCAACTTCGACATAGTAGGTAATGAATTTGTAATAAATAATTTAAAGACTTTGAAGTGGTTTAAAATAAGGTTATAATGGGGCGTACAACTTCGCTTTGTTTCATCTCTGAAGAGAGCCTACTAACAATGGGCTTATATGTAACTTGCGCCACATTTTGCCTCAATGAGACTCGTAATAGATCAAACCTTATAGATATCCACTGACGCCATGGTGAGTAGATTATATGGTGAGGCCAAACACTTCACAACCTATCAATTCGGTTTCCTTTCCATTGTTAAGACGGGTTAGACAAGTTTAGTGATTATTGAGGCAAAAGCTAGGAATGTCATCTGCTCAAGTTTCGTCACTCCCGTAGTCGGTAAAGCTAAAATAAAACTAAGAATGTCGAAAATACAAGATCTGGGGGATTACGAACATGGTTTACGATACCATGGTTCTTGCCTGCCATGGTTCAATATTCATGGTTTGACAAACAAATAAACAGGAAATTATGCAAGATACAATAATGAATGAGAAACTGAGTTGATCTTGGCCACTGTGCCGAGAGACTTGAGTGTGTTTCCATTCTATTGCTTCTTCAGTACGGATACGCGAATGATGTAGGCAATCTGTGCCATGTCTGGTGCCATATCATCTAGTATTGTCTTGCTATTGCTGGCGAGTATGGGATCTCCTAAGGTCGGTGGGAGTAGGGTATGGGATCGTTCAATGTGGGCATAGTTCTTAGCGTGCGTGTAGACCTGTGGTAGGAAGTGGTCAATGACGACGAAGGTGAAGGGATATTGGTATGAACGACCGGCCTCTAGCACCCGCGGGGCGGGATATTCAGTCTTATCAATTGGCTGGCGCAAGTTGACGAATGCCTGTTGCAATCCTGTACAGCTAGGGCATAATGCACGCTCTACTGTTGTTCGTGATGTTCCTGATACGGCATTAGTTTTGGCTGATATGTAGGGCCTTGCGTTATGTAACTTCAAAGATAATTTCGATTCCATCAAAACACGTGTCTTTTTCAACAGTGATGGTAGCAGTGCCATCAATGCTGTCGGCAGTCGTGTATGAATTGACGAAACCAGGCTTTTGGTCCAACAGGACAATTCGGATCTTGGGCGGCGAGCGACGAGTCCACGCATCAAGGGTGTCTAAGCCTTAGCTAATAATCAAAGTAGCCGACGCCGATTTGATAACTTGTCACAGGGAAACAGGACGTTTGGCCTATTGAAGGAGTAACGTGGCTGTGAAAGTTAATATATCAGAAGACCAGAAAATGACAAGATCAAGACTTAGCGCTCGGAGTATAACTAGAGAAATAACGGGGAAAGGAAAAAGTAGACAGTGGATCCGTCGACAACCGTGATTGAGACAATTGAGAGGACTCCGTTATATATAGGAAATGCAAGCATATGAACATTTAGATCTCAGCTATCAGGCCTTACAAATCGGGATAATAAGACACAAGTAACAAGACTAAGGCATATTTAATTCTATGATGTCCGCGTATAGCTCCCCAGAAGTGAGCTCGTGAGGAATCAATATAAGGAAATCTGAGCCAGAGAGTTATTGAGGTGTAGAGCTATGCAAGTGATTGGCTGCATGGATGCCAGCAGCCGACCCTTACGCCCTTAGATTGGCATTAGTTTACCCAGCTCAAGTGCATAGTACGGAGATGTCCACTAAGGCCAAGCGCTCATAAACTGAGGCTTGCTATTTCCGCCGTTTTCCACCAGAGATGCCTTTCGTAACATGGCTAAGCGATGTCTCTCGCCTATCCTGGAGAGAAGACGTAACAAGCTAGTCAACAAGTGGAGCACGCTTTGCAGCGACATGAACGCCCTTCGGGTCTCCACTAGACATATCAGAGCCAAAGGGCCTCAATGTTAGGTTCGAAGTGGCTAATCACGGTTCACTGAATGTCGGCTGAGCCTAGTTTAGCCGATCAGGCTGTTAGTCGAGAAAGCTAATGATAATTTTATTAGAGGCCGCAGGAGACTCGAGGCGCCGTCTACATCTCTCATATCTACACCACGCCGTAAGCAGATTGGATACCGTGATCCTAATGGCAGTCCTCAGGCCAACATCAATACACTTCTTTTTTCTCAGACCCTCCGGCCGCTCATCGTCTCACATAGGCCCCTCGAATTCTCTTTCCTCGTTCCTACTTCACTTCATTCTCGTGCCTCACAGTTAACAGTTTACTTCACTGCTTCATTACCTAAGCCTTCCTCTATCGTCGAATTGCTAGCGCTTTATATTGGTCATGTGGCTCGCGGGCTCTAGGAGGACGAGTAAGATGCTCAAGGAAGCTATCTTGAAGACCTCAAGCTCGCCTTGAAGGTGTTTGAGCATACCTTAATGCGCACAACGATGTCCACGCTGTGGTAGCGGTTCTATCCGCAATCGTCTCTAAGAAGACCTAGGTACTGAATCATATATAATGCAACATGCTTACGCTTACTGAGTTACTAAACAAAGCACCTTTCGAGTGGTTTATTTAAGTAATAGAATCTACTAAATTAAGTAACAATTTTAAATAGTATGCTCTCAGCCTTGATACTGTACAATCGATCTCACGGCGTCACCGGTATGGAACTTGCTGTTACATATTGTCGCGGCAATAAATAACGATAACAATTAATATAAACTAATTTACATCATTAACCCACCAAACACAACACATAGAACCCGAGGCACCCAAAATTGGAAGGAAAAAGACACCAAACAAGAGCGAAAGCAATGTATGAAACGGTATACTCCCATCGAATGTTTCAAAAAAAGATTGTCTAGTACTTCTACGTTCCCTATTATATTGACGCCAAGTTTTCATGATAGGGAATTGGCCAAGATATTAAGAGGTTAAAAATACCCAGCCGCAATGAGATCAGATAATAACGAAATTAGCGTAAATATCGTCAATGACTCATAGATCTGTCCCCAGATATTGAGCTCTGAGGAAGCTGATGGTGCTGGACTTGCCTATGGAAGTACCCTGGCTCTTTCTTAGCACTAGTTGTTTGGAAATATAGTGAATCAATTCTCATAGTATCCTATGCGCATTAAATTTGAATATACAAAATCGAGATACTCGCGTCTGGTAGTCCAAAACTAGTGAGAAACTCGCCTTTGTCAGGTTATGTATAGTAGATTCGAAGAAACCCGGGACTCGAATCAAATGTCTACCACTTCTCGATATACGGACGTAGATCTAATTCAAAGGCAAATGTCATCCGTGACTGAGTGTGTAGAACTCAATATGAGTTCGCAATCTAAAGTGAGTCCGTGACCAAACTAATACACCAAAGAAATAATACCTACAGTATTGGGACTCAATTCCCCAACCACGTGTTCATTAGCCCATGCCTTGGTCCGGTATATGCCAATGATACCGTAAATGACGGTATGCGAGACATACAGTCAGTGGACAAAAGTATTTGCAACGTCTGTGGACCCACCCAGCTGACCGCCCCTATATTCCATACCGCCTACCTAAAAAGCGTAGTATACCTAATCCCCTGGGGAACAATGACACTTGCGAGGAAATCCTGGTTGCTACTGCCTAGTAGGCATAGAAAAGATTAGAGATGCAGCACTAAAGCATCTCTCTAAGACTATACCATGCAGAGCGGGAGCCATTTTTGAGAGTTAGAGGTGGTATACCCATACTAGATTTCATAGTATAAATTTATGGAGGTTTTGGCCGGCAGTATATTATATAATCAAGGAGTGTGGGTCCAGACGTTGCAAATACTTTTGTCCAGTCACTGTAGACACCCTGTGGTCCAAACTCATGAGTAAGCGACTGTGCTAACGCGCATAGTGCAAACTTGCCTGAAGCCAAAGCAGCAAAGTTAGCCGATCCCATTAGGCGCGTTGTAACTCTGCTGAAGATCAGGGTTGGAGGATACTCGGAGGATCCACGAGAATCTAAAAGGAGCGGGAGAGAGCGTTGAGCGAAGTTGAAAGCACCCTGTCTATTATATGAATTAGTGCTAATACCCAAATTTCACATACTTTGGATTTTTTCTTATCGTGAGCAAAATACGTGGAAAGAAACGTACGCTTGAGATGAAAGTGGGATTGAGTAATCCTGCTCAGTAAGTTCAGGGAATGGCTTTCGGACTAAGCCGCCAGCATTGAACACCGCGGCGGCAACCTTACACGATGGGTATTGAGCTGCGATCTCATCAAAGGCGGCATTGTCGCTCTCTAAGTCTGAGACATACTCGGGTATAAATACGCTTATATACTTATAAAAATAGTATTTCATTGACTTACGTAGCATTTTTATAACCTAAATAGGTAATTTTTTACCAAGTTATATAGGAACAGCACCATATAGACACTACCGTTGCTACCGCAGCACTATGCGGTACCGACACCGAATAACGTTGCCAAAATCTGCTTGATGCCGCGTGACTTGTCAAGGCCTATTTATACAGGTTAGTAAGGGTAACTCTGTGCCGTCGCCTAAACTCTACGACTTCGGTCTACTCAATGACCCTGAGAATGATGTCAGCGTTGCGTAGATGCTGATAGAGGAACTCCCCGGGACACCGTTACTTTCTCTTAGCCCGTCAGAAGAGCAACTCCGCAAATTTTACAATCATTACGCCGACATCTTGTGTACTATCAATAAGTACCCCCTTTAGCAAATCGGCTGTCTCTCTTTACAGCCCAATGGTACTATCTCTATGGGCCCCGTCGTGAGCGACCGGACTGGTACATTTTCACATATGGGACCTTTCCACAATGCACGAGAGTACTACGCGACTTGGGCGGAGAGATATCACGAATTAATTTGCGACCGCCAGCTCTTCACTCGGTACTCAGTCAATGCCTACCTGATCTTCAGATACCTCAATGAACTGGCGGAACAAGGCCAGTGGAATGCATTTGAACCGGGCATTGACAACGGTCCATTCTTTCTGAAACACATGGATGACAAAGGTGACCATATACTTGTGAATGAGGATTTCAATGTCACTGGTCTTATCGACTGGACGTTTGCTAGGGCGGTGCCAATGTATGAGGCATTTGGTCCCTCACTGTTGACAGCAGAAATGAATGACATATATGAGGGCAAGCCTGGCCGATCCTGGGGCGACACGATCCTAGCTGAGGCCATACAGACCCAGAACAAGGATCTAGTTCGCTTTTTCGGTGGCCCTGATCTAGTTCGTCGCTTCTCCTTTGGCCTCAGCATGGGTATGAACATGTCTTGGGACGAAGCAGTTGCTTTATTCAGAGGTATCATGTCCACAGCTGAAAGGAGCAGTTTGAAATTTGACTGGGAAGTCTGGCGTCAAAGTAGTCTATGTCAATGGGCTGGTGATGCTAAGTTGCAAGAACTTCTTCTCAAATTGGGAGAAGCCTGAAACCTCTGAGGATTGGAGGTAACGGCATTTATGCATGGACATTGAAAAAGGAGAGAAGAGAACACCCTAACAGTACGTAGAGGCCTTCGGAATGTGTCTTTTAGTCTATGGTTTCTCTGTCATGTCGTCCCAAAATATGAACTCTGATCCTTGTTACACCTGGATGAATTTATCGCACTTCGTACAAAATTTCATCTTTTAGAATATATTTTTGGCAGAAGGATAATACAAATAGGCAGCCGCTACTTAATGATGAGCCACTAGGGTTACCGAGTAGTCTGGAGCTTCTCCAAGGCGGAGCAGGGAGTAGTTAGGAACCAAGCACGTGTTACGTAGCCCCTCTAATCCATTGTTAGTTACTCCCATGGGCCTCTCCATAGGGCCCATTTCCCGCTTATATAAGGCCCATGGGCTACCTATGCCCACCCGCCCGTCCATAGGTGATGTCGCAATCTACTGCTTGGTCTACTTATCGTTCAGGCATCTAACAGTTCGCAATGATATCCAGGTTTCTGTCAATATAACCAAATATAACAGGAAGGCACATTTCTCGACATAGCCTAACGTAATGACTTAGGTACAGGAAGAGCATTCATAGACCCCGAAATGACTAAAAAGAGTGACATGTTCTTAACCTCGTAGTGCAAGCTCTTACTTATCCATGAGCCCGGCAGAGCATCATTCAGTATCCTGATGCTGGGGCTTGATGGTGCAATCTAGCTTCCCGCAGCAATCAATCCTATTGCAGCACTGATCGCCATTCTTCCAGATGCAGTTATTCGCATCATCCCTAATGTCACAAGGGACTTCCATGAGCTCGAACTCGATGCACGAGTCTGTGGCGCGGGTATCCAAGCTGATCCCCGGACTGATATCTGGACAAGCCTGTGTGAGACCGTCGGTGAATCCGGTAAGACAATATTTTCCGCAGGGCCACTTGGTGACCGAGAAATTTCCGGCCTTACCAAAGTCGGGTGTCTTGCCGATATGCCCGCCGTTCTGTTTGTTGTCGAGCCACTGCCCAGCGTCGGTTGCGGCTGGTAGCGTGCCGTGGAGGTCTTTGATGTGGACCTCGTTGCTGGGGTTGATGGGTAGGCCAGGAGTGCAGAGTTCGTCTTGGCAGAATTGGAACTTGCCGGGTCTAATATACTTACTCAGTGCAGTTTCGGAGTACTGGTTGGAGTTGAATGTCAAATAATTGCCCGATCGTCCCGTGAAGAAGTAGCATTTGCCTACACATTATCACCCGCGTTACCTTAGAAAAACAGCAGGAAATGAGAAAGAACTTTGATTGTGTTCACATACCAGTCTTTAAGCCCGACTGACACTTCGCAGGCTTACAAGTACCATCTGCAGCATCTTCCTGGCCCTTAGGGCACTGGCATATCCCATCGACCATCTCTTTGCCATTGGGGCACAACCTTTTACAGGTCTTACCGTCGAAGGTGGAACCCTCCAGACAGCACTCAAAGCCCACATCCAAGGAGCCGGTCACATCATGGCCTTTGCCACAACAATGCCACTCGGTCTCTATGGATCCCTTGAGACTGGCACCTGGCGGACAGCAGGTGCCGTGCTTCTTGTCAGCACTCAGGCTTAGGACCCTGCCTGGACCAGCACAAATTAAGCTTCCTGTAAAAGGTCCATCAGGCCATGTCACTTTGTCTCCGTCGATGATGAAGTTGTCGCCAATATCCCTCACCGGGACCTTCTCGGCGAATGCGAGGTGAGAGCGCAGAAGAACAAAGCCGATCAAAGAAAGCCCCCGCATGATTGTGTGATAAAGGCCGAACATAAACAAATAGGAGTGATTGAGATGATCGATTCACGAAGATTAAGTGGAAGGCTTGGGCTCTTTATATCTTCTCTTTCTGACTGGAAACTGGAAAATCACTTACGTTTTTATCCTCCATCAATTTTTAGTATTTCCCTTCCCGTTTAAATTGCACCTGGAAAGGTCAAATGATCACTCGACCTGCAAATGATCACTCGGCATGCAAATGGCTTGCTGAGCTCAGATGCAAGAGGGCTGGCGATGTAACAGCAGCTAGCAAAAAATGCAAGGACCTGATTTTTCTGCACCAAACAGGGTGCCTGACGGGGTCTCGACCATCGGTAACTCCATGATTGACAAGCACAGCGTTACCAGAAAAGGCTATCTTCAAGTTTCCGAGGCCTACAGTAGTAGTCATTGTGTTTGACTTTGCTTCAGTTCAGTCTACAAAGTACCATTGTAGGGAAATGGATATCTGGAAATAGATAGCTGCATTTTCCAAGCGCACATTGGAATTGAGAACAACTACTTGAGCGCCACATTGAGGGCCAAACCAGCCTTAGTGTACGCTGCCTGCACAGGGCAAGTTTCACGAACTTGAAATTGTGATTCCTCCGTTCGTTGGTGTATGGAGACCAAGGGCAAGCTGAAATTCCACCTGCAGAAGCCATAGGTACCAACTCTCGTATCCAGCAGCTTGCCTGATACAGTGGCTGGCGTAGCATCACGAGGTATACTTCACATAGCATGCTCGACAGGCTCTCTTTCTTTCCTTTGCACCAGACATTGGCTCCACCACTGACCCTTCTGTGGGGCAGGTCTGAGATAGACTCATTCATCGCGTACGTACCGCTGCAACCTGCTCCCGCGCCGATCACCCGACTGACATCCGTGCTTGTGATTGCAAGTTGACGTTAGGGATCGACGCAGCTAGACCTGGCTGTGACCATAGACAATCCGCGCCCTAGACCCTTAACCCGCCAAGGCAGCCCCCAAGGCAACCGCCAAGGCCCCTTGATTTTTCACAAAGGTATATAAAGCACGATTTATAAGCATGTTATTTCCTAATTAGGATGGTTCGTACATACCAAGATACATACTTCTAGTGGAGTCTACGGCCCGGAATTTGGACCGTCCTTGGCGCTAAGGAGGGACCAAATAGAGGGTCGCAGCCAGGTCTAGACGCAGCAAAGGGCCACGTGGACCCACATACCTATCACATTATGTAGGATGTCAAGCTGAAAATTGCGGGGCGAGAGGGATGGTGTGAAGCTGAAGCTAGATCCCTCTAACTGCGTCCTAGAGCCATTTCTAAATCGGCTTCTATGCAATCTGCCTATCGCTAAGTACTGCCCCAGGTAGGCTCTCAATTTCGGGTGGAATAGTAGATCGCCGAGTGGCGTATGGCGGCGTTGAGTCGTCATGTGGTGAATCCTGGGGGCACCTTTTCCTATTGATTCAAATTGCAACTCGGATGGAGGAGATAGTCACTAGACAACATGTAGAGATACAGCGTAGATGTAGTAAAGTTAGATAGAAAAATAGTGCGGAGGAAGTTAGTTACTTTGGCCTGTTGTTTGTTGTACCTACTTTTGTCCCCATTACTAATATGCGCCATCCATCCATAGATGGATGCAACATCCAAAAACCCGTCACAGGAATCAGCACTTGGCCACTTCAACCACCCACTATGCTACTAATTGCCCTAATCCTCTAGAAATTCAATAAATCCAGAGACTAGGGTATTGTTACCTATTTCGACTTTAAGAATCAAGAGATCTCTTCAATTCATGAAATGGCGCGCCGTTTCCATATGCCCGAAATCACCCTCCGCTGCCGTCTTAGAAGTGTATAAGACCGCGCGATTTCTCGCTCTAATTGCTCTAAACGGCGAGTATAGGGAAGGTAGCCACGCGTACTCGCATTTTTCTCGGCTCACCCGCGGCTCGCCCCCTCTGATCGTGGGATTCATTATATTCATAAAGTCGAAACGCCTAGGTATAAGAATTTGGACAACATCCTGCAAGTGGCTGAGGGCATGAAAGGAATTCCCAAATTTAACCTCTATGGTTAAAGTGAATAACCCGATTCTTTGGTCAAATAAATAGGGCATACCCAATGAACGAATGCATAGGAGAATTCGATTAAAATAGTTGAACCAACTGAAAAGAAACTTGACCTAAAAGGGGTTATACCAGCTAGATAACCCGCAAGTAAAAGAGGGACAATGTTTATAAAAGGTATGAAAGAGAGACCTGTGGTAGGGAAGAGGCCTACGCATTAGTCTAGAGCTTTTCTAAGGTAGGTCACGAAGTAGTCGGGAGCAAATCACACATTGGCTCCCCTGATCCATTGTTACTCCCCCATTTTTGTTTTGAAGCGGTACTTCGTGCGTGATCTCCCTAGCTCACTGTTAATCGCCCCTTGAACTAATTATATTAATTTGATGATGACCCTCTCCTACTCTATTTATCATCATAGTACGGCTACCTATAAAATTACTGTGGTGATCTAAGGCTAGTACAGATCAGGAACCAAGCCGAACCATCGAAATTAATCCCGAGGTGTCTATACGAAGAATCAAGTTGAGTGGAAATTAACTTAATCTTCTCGTTGTATATATAGCCTCATGTTTCACTTTGATTAAATAACAATTCATTCCTCTGAACTACAACAATTACCAGTTACAGTAACCATAGTTATAATACGGCTTTATTGATCTCCCTTGGTCAGAGTGTAGTTCGTCACTCTGCTGAAAGGCGCATTGCAATCACACGGCAGCATCAAAGCCTCGACAACAGTCAAGTCATCTTCAGTATTCCTCGTTCAACATTAAATAATAGCATAGTGTGTATAAGATTACCCTTGGACGCTATAAAATTGATTGGTTGATTGATACAAGGCTTCGGGCAATCTTCTACAATTTTCAATCAGGGGTCTACCAATGCGCTGCTAAAGCTTTACAAACCCCTCGGGGAGCTCCTTGTGCTCAAACCACGCCTCAGCAGTCTTTGCAAACAGCCGCGGAGCCTGACGGTTCCACGGATGTCGCATGCCCAAGTGCGTATATGCGACTGTGTCTTCATTCAACTCTCTCCCGATCTTCATCAACGTCACAGCGTTATGCGGGCTATCCTTGGTAGGGACTAGTCCGCCTTTGCCTGCTACAACAATGAGGGTGCGCGCAGGCCATGGCGACGGCCATTCAGTGGGGGTCTCAGGTGATACAATCTGCCGACACAAGTCGAGTGTGCAAACATTGGTATCGATGCGTGGGATATCGGCACCATCCATGGCCCAGCTAACCAGCGGGCGGGCAAGGCAATTCTCCACACGCGACATCGCCCATGCTGCGTATGGAATACAGGGTGTGATTGATGTTCGAGGAAACATTCCAAATCCCGAGATAAAAATGGAGTTGACGACATCGGGGTCTGTGGAGGCCAGACGGATAGCGACCTGCGCACCTAAACTGTGGCCGACAATGTGTGCTGAACCATTGATGGTGCGTGTGCGGATTAGCTGGGCTATCATGCGGGAAGCGAGATCCACTGAAAACGGTCCAATCGATTGCGACTTCCCATGACCGGGAAGATCTGGGACCAGGAGATGGTAAGACGTAGGGAGGTGGGGGATCACTAGATCCCAGTAGAGACCGGACACTAAGGCACCATGAATCAGTACGACTGTGGTTTGACCAGTGTTGTACGCAGTATGGTGTAGCTCGTCAAGAGACATGCTGATGTGATCGGGTTTCAGGAGTGTTAAAGGGGCTTTGAGTTGGGACGATGTGTCCACCCGAGGTAGTACCACCTGGTGGAACTCCAGTAGATCCCCTTGATTGGGTTCTTCGGCCCGAACCGGTCTGTCGGGGATACTAAAAGAAACTCCGATGTATCCCCGTGCTTATATGATTTTTGGGTATCTTATGTCCTGATTCAAAATATATCAGAAATCACTACAATTATATACAGTGGCATTTCACGAGTATTTGCACCCCAATGCTTCCATTGTTGACCACCCTGGCTATACCGCCTTTCAATTACTACTGGTATAGACCCACTCGCATAGCAAGATGTAGGTGGGTGTAAAATCCTTCCGGCAGAAAATACAAGTACGCAGGTGCAGCTACTCATGAAGTGCTACGAGCAGCTGCAGCAGCAGCTCGAAGAGGTACCTGACAGTCTAGGTCCGTCCGAGGCTGAGGCCCATATTCTACGCGTTGCCTACGCCAAACGCACGCACCTCAACTGGGTTGTGTTTAGGAACCTAGCGCCCGGAATGGTCGGTAAGGCCGCTGTATCCAACGAGCTTTGGGGAGCATCTGCGCTTAGTATGCGTGTCGATAAGTTCAAGCTGGAGGGAGACTAGAATGACGTTTCAATAAAGATTCCAAAATTATTCTCGCCTGAAACCACTTCCAACGGACCTATGTCGAGTCTGTGCTTGAATCGTTACGTCGTTAGACGTGAGGCCTCCTTTTGGCGAGAGCTGTTTTCCTAATATAACCTGCAATCTCTCAGTTTAGGTCCAGATGACAACCCAGGTTTCCTTGAGAATGCCGCCGTATATTTACACAATCTAACTGGTTTCACCATCACGGTTTGGCAAATCAACCCCCATGACCCATACAGGGCTTGACAAATTCTTGTCTTCCTTCCATATATCGGAAAGTCTGGTTATCAAGGGATATGTCCCTTCAGTGTACAGGCCATGGCCCACCATCCTCTTGGACCAGTTTTGTCCTAATCCAACTACACGGGATATTGACATGAATTTGGATGCCATATGGGTGGGTTTTGTGAGATATTAAATTCGACACAGTCTAATTGAAAGTCCATTTAGCCTAGCGCAAGCATTGATTGTTTCAAAGCGGGATTCCGTAGTTTTCGTTGGCTGTCTATTCATGCTCAGTGCGGACTGCACCGAATGGAACTGGAGTTTCAATTGAAAGTTCAGTTGGGACAGCAGTTAAAGCGGGAAATAATGGAGAATTTGTTGGCGACTCCGACGAGGAATTGGATGGAGTGAACATGACAGATTACCAGGATTACAAAGAAGAATGGACGGCGTCGATATTGATTGAAGCTAAAGTGCCTGATTTTGGAAAACGCTTCTTTGGTTAGAGACATGAACCTTTGAGCCTTGAGAAGATTACTTTGAGGGCAGGCGGGAACCTGCGTTATTTTGCGCAATGGTCAGTGCCCTATGTAACGGAGGAATCTCAGCAGAGAAGATTTTCTAAATCTATTGTCCGAGGAAGGGAGATGGACCCTTTTGCAAAGCATTGGAAACGGACAGACAGCGGATGTATAGAGAAATAGGTGGTTGACATGTAACTCTCCAAGGCAGAAATAGAGATTATAAGCCATATATTCAATGATATTCAACACTTTCTGTCACGACCCACTCCTGAATGAGGGTCGCAGCGGACCTATGAGAGTCTCGAGGATTCGAGGACTCGGAATGGATCATGTGACTTCGCTTAGTCCGCACCGCGCACTACTATGATACCGGAACTCGGAGCAATGGAGAGGCTCAGAGTTCAGTTTGAATACACGCAATACTAGTGCCAATAGCCTTCGCAGTAGTATTGTAATACCCCTGTCACTCTGATCATCTAAACCGAAGCCCTGCGCAGTGGGGCTTCACACTTTCATTATTTTCCTGTTCTGCTCTGGATATAGTATGAATTCGCATTGCACGAAGTATCCAATTATACTAAATTTATAGTTATATCACAAAGGTATACTATTATAAGTTACATTATGTATGCACTTACAAGGAAAAGTGAGTATATTACCCGAAAAGACCTAGCAATATGATCCCCTAGTTCGACATCTCCACAATAGCATCTACCTCAATCTCAACAAGCATATCCTTATTGATAAAACCGCCATTAACAACAATCATTGTTGCAGCAGCTCCTATCATACCCCCCACACCTCGATTATGTTTGCCCAATATCTCACGAAACCCTTGTCCCACGGCTGTACAGTCCTCGTGTCGACTGACAAACATCTTAACACGAACTATATCCTCCAGGCCCTTACCACCAAGGCCTTGGATAGCTCGAACGCACTCCTCCAGAGCAATACATGTCTGTTGTTTGGCATCTTCTGGGTGGAGAATTCGTGGTGCATTAGCGGGAGAATGGGGGTCAACTGCTGTAGTTCCGGAAACGAAGATATGATTGCCATATCGAATGGCCCGGTAGTAACCGATCTGTTCTTCGTATGGAGATGAGGTGGCAAAGCCAGTTTTCGCGGGCCCGGAAGCCATAGTAAGCTAGAAACGAGTTTTCAACTATTATATCAGTAAAGCAAACAAAACCGACAAACCAGACAACATTACTAGCAAAGTCCAGATTCTGGAGGATGAAAAGTAGATAGTTTTCTTTGTAGATCGTGAGAATTTCTTTGCGTGGTTAAATAATACGAATATGAAGTCGAACCTGAATGAGTCACAATTATATGGTGTCCACTTTGGAATTATTTCCACGTACTCCACATGAAATGAGCTCTAATGGGTACCGCGACTAAGCGCATTATACTAACAACTTAGTAGTGTCAAGAGTGAAGGAACCACAAGAATACAAAAATATATACTAAGAAATGATTTTGTAGATCTGGCAATCTAAGGCATTGGGCGAGGAATTGGACTAGGTATTATAATGGCCAATGCATTTCTAACACATTTCCAAATCATCGTTCGAGAACGGAATTAGCTGTGGGGTGAGATCTGGGGCCGTATGGAACGTTTTATCAAAGGGCCATAGTGGACGGCAGATATGATGATGCCCAAGACGTTGCAGATCCTGATCAACACCGCCAGGTGTCAAAGCAAGCATCCAGTCTGCCGCCATGTCAAACAGCTCTGGTTCAAGATAACCAATCTTGACTATGACGATGTCTGTCGCTCGGGGACTAAGATCAAGACCGATAAAATCACTCTCATGGTGATATGGCTTTCGGGATTTGGTTAGGATGGCAAACACGCTGCCAACCTGCAGAACTGCCTCAACTTCGGCATCGCGATCTCCATACTTGATTGAATGAACGCGTCCAGTCATAGTGATAGGCCCAGCATGCAGACTGTCCACTTCTGCTCCGGCGGTGACCGTCACCGTGGTACCCACACCAGCCTTAACTATAACGTCAATTGCCTGGGGTCCTGGAATGCTGGCATAAATCACAGTTGTACCGTTATCTTGCCAAAACTCCGGTCGTTTTAACAACTGGCTTAAACCGAAGGTCACGTCGCCCGATCCGCCAGCCGTAGGATTATCCCCTGAATCAGATATGAAGAAAGGCTTATTTGACGATGCGAGCGCGTTGTCAATGCATTCCGCAAAAGACCCGGTCGGGGCAACAAAATGGAACTCCTTATGAACACGCCAGAACGAAGTTGCAAGTCTGTTCGCTCCTCTAACGACAGCGGCCTTATTCCATCCGGAGACCATTACCACAGCATGGTTTCGGGGCTCATCTGCCCACGCATACCCAACCCAGATCGCTGCATCTAGGACATTTTCCATGGCTTCGACCTCGGGTACGAGGGAATACAGAGTTTTGGCTGGTTCGTTGCGGGTTGAAGTCTGCTCTCCTGGCAACAAGATAGGAACTGGAACCCAAGCTTTCAGGGGCCTGTTCACCCTTCCAGAGTCGGTTCGCGAAGTCAAAACATGGACAAGATTTTGACACGCCCGTTCCTTTGTTTCCAGGGCATCCTCATGGGGCGCCATACGATAACAAGTGATCAGATCAGTCTGGTGGGCTAGCTCTCTGGACACATTTCCATGCAAATCCATGGATGACGAGACCAGAACATCTGGGCCAATAACAGTTCGAATCCGCCGGAGAAGCTCCGCTTCGACATCCTCCATACCCTCAACACACATTGCGCCGTGGATATCGTACCATAATCCATCGATAGGGGCCGAAGCGATGATTGCAGCCAGCCGATCCAAGATTTCCCTAGAGAGTTGTTCAAAATCAGCTCGTACCACAACTCCACCTGGAAGGGCATGGCCTATAAGTGCGCCTTTCCAGTCTGCAGCATCAGCTAGATGAGTGCCATGATGCAGAAAAGCGTATTTCTCGACCACCTCAGGACCTCGTCGCGGGTGAAACGCCCCACTAAGTGTCCGAGCGGGGGAAAAGGTGGAGGTCTCACAAGCAAGTCCTGCGATGGCGATAATTGGTCGAGACATTGTAACAGGGAAGATTTGTTAAAAGAAAGAAATGCAAGAAAGATGAGGTACATTGCTCAAGTGTTGAAAACTGCGTTTTCCCCGCTCTGAGAACAAGTTAGGAGAGGGTTACATTTCGTTTATGCTATAAGCAACTCCTCAGGTTGTCAACTATACTTAGCAGAAACGAAAATAATAAAATAAGTATCCTCCTGAAATACTAACCTGATCACATACAAAAAAAAAAAAAAAAAGTATTGGGGCTAAGATCAGCTGACCTGCGAGTCAGACTTATCCCACGCGTATCCCCTTTATTCCACACAAACTACTCACACACAGCCAATACAAGCCATGAGTCAAAGCACACAATGCCCAATACTAGAGATTGCATGTTTCAATCAAGAATCGGCTGTGGTTGCTGCGAGAGCAGGAGCCGACCGTATTGAGTGAGTATTATATCAAGTCGGGGTGCCAATTAATCTACGAATTCTTGTTTAATTTTTATTTTCGTGAAAGAATATTCCGTATCACTAATCCTACTCCAGATTATGCAAGGACTACCATCTCAGTGGCCTATCGCCTGACCCCGAGGTTCTCCAAAAATTGAAATTACAGCTCACAATACCGATCTATACGATGATTCGACCACATACGGAAGGCTTTTGTTACGAAGAAATTGACTTCGAGACGATGAAACAAACTGTCAAGTCTCTCAAATCCTACGGGGCGGACGGTTTCGTCTTCGGGATTTTGACTGGATCCCAACAAACGGGTCGTGATCCGAATGCCTCCTGGGTCGATATATCTCGTAATAAGCAGCTTATACAACTAGCTGAGGGGCTCCCCTGCACATTTCATCGTGCCTTTGATCTCATTCCTGAATCCCATTGGGAGAGAGCATTGGCCGACATCATGGAGTGCGGCTTTGCATCGATCTTGACCAATGGTGGTCCTTCGGGGACGAAAGCAACGGAATGTGTAGACAAGTTGCAAACTCTAGTACGCCTTCAAACGCAACTACAAGGACACGGAAAGCTACAGAGACACAGAGTTACAGAAATTATTGTTGGAGGTGGTGTGAGGGCATCGAATATAGGCATGCTCCATACGATTACCGGAGCCAAGACATTCCATTCCGCTGGTCTCTTTGCCTCGGAAGAGGTGACCTGCGCAGTTGAGGTGTCTAAGATGAAAGATGAGATATTGCGGGCACGGGAGGGGGAGGGGGATGAACAGGCGAGATAATTGCTACGACGTCCTATCCCTACTGTTTGTTATGCTGTCTGCTCGCCTACCAGGACACTTGTTATAACTAGTTAACAGCCCTCCTTCTTTCTCCGTTTTTCCCATGATCGTTTCCTCCAATGACCAGGATTGCCCGGAACATATACAAACTTCCCGCAATGACCTCCCATCTTCCGTCCGTTCGAGCGTTATCCGCACTGAGACACAATGGAACAACAAAAATGAAAATAGCCTATATGGTACTTACCATTCCAATCGTTTATCCGGCTGACCTACTTGCTCCTTTTCAGCCCCAAGAGAATATTTGGCTGGGATCATTGCCTCTAGTAGGCTTTTTCCGAAGAGTCCAAAAGCCGAAGCAATCCCACCAAATTGATAGATCTCGCTTTCCATTTGACTGAGTTTGAATCCGAATGTCTTACCACCGACTTCGATAATCCTTGAATCTAAATTGATGCAGGTTGACATTCCATCATTCGCAATTTGAAAGAAGGATTCATCTTCCATTGTGATGCCTAGGCGCCCGAGGTTTGGCATATTGCGTTGGAAGATGAACGCAAACGATTTGGCTATGAGGCATTGAATACCGCATCCTAAAATAAACCTGTGGTCAAAAAGGAACTCGGATTCGTTTCAATAAGATTGTTCGGCTTGACTTGCCTAACAATGCCATCACTGCTTGTTCGCGAGATGACCCGCAACCAAAGCCCTTACCACCAACAACAATATTGAACCCCTGGTGGGCTCGATCGCGGAATTTTGGATGTGTATGCATCAAACAACACTTGCCAGCGTCCACATTATTTTTCATGCCAATCAGAAACTCGGCAGGGGCCAGCTTGAAAACTACCATTAGTTCTGACACTCCACTATTACAATGGAAGGATAGACACGCACTGCATCCGTGTCGATGAAATTTCCTAGCCTTTGCGCTTTGCCTTGAAGAATTTTTGTCTGTTTATCCCCATGTTTATCGGGTCGCCTTTGCTCTTTTGGTTGCTCTCTCTGGCTCTTGGCACTAGGATGATCACCACAACCACATGGCTCAACATATGCCAGGCCCGTCTTGAAGCTAATTGCATCCAAATTTGTTGACATCCTCAGACGGTCCCATCGGCTTAAATCGATTGCAGCAAGTAGATCACTGGGATCAACCAGCTTCATTTCAAATGACGATGCTGCAACAGTGGCTGCAGATGCGAGATGACCAACCGACCCTAAATCAGGTGGTCTCAATTAAGTACTCCAATTCATTTGAGGGCTATCGTTACCTTTTCCCATTCGGTTTTTGAAATTTCGATTTTGAGATGAAATCCAGACCTCTCCTGGGGCCGCCTGATCGGCTGACATGCCGACACAATAACTGCACCCTGGGTTGCCGATCTCAAATCCTGCGTCCGCATATATATCACATAACCCCAGTTCACGTAAGCGATGGAGTATTGGCATTGAACCGGGAACAACCTTCCTCTTCCCCTTTGCGGTAGGCCTTAGTCCTCTTTTCATTGCTTGTTCCATTACCAGAGCACCGAGGATCAGGTCTTCCTCAGTGGTAGTGCAGGCCCCGATAAAACATCCCTGCAGCTCCATTCCCTCTTCTTCTATAACTGGAACCACGTCATCTGGCATGGGATAACGTGCAATAAAAGACCCCACGTTTGAAAGGTCGATCTCATGAACTACAGCATACTTCGCATCGGTATCGGGGTTAAAGTATGTCGCCTGGCATTTGTAACGGGCGAGTTTGCGTCTATTAATAAAATTGTGGGTGATGCCATCTAGAACAAATAAGCCAGTGATGCCACCGAGTTCCTCTTAGATGTTAGTAGATTTGCCCCAACTGAATCATAGCTATGACATACCGTGATCATGTTTGAAATTGCGAAGCGAGTATCAAGAGATAAATGTCTGGCTGCTGGGCCTGTGAACTCCACGATTCTATCAGATGCTACGGTATTTCGTTTTAGTACTTGCAAGATGTATAAAATGACATCTTTACCCCCGATCCCTGGCTTCGGTGCTCCAATTAGGCGAATATTGATGGTTTCTGGGACTCCGAACCACGCTTTCCCAGTTACCAAAGGCAGAGTGACATCTACGGCACCCAGTCCAATTGCGAGACAGCCTACTGCCCCTGCTGAGCATGTGTGTGAGTCCGAACCAACGACCAGCATTCCGGGTTGCGCACGCTCTCGGAAGAATTCAGTGTGGAGAATAGTGTACTTCATAACTGTGATTCAGCCATTGTCAAAGATGCAGCAAAAAGAGAACTGACATTCTTGCCTTGGTATTCGGTCATTTTGAAGGTTTTCTTCGCTCTCTCGCTCGCACTGATTAGCGCCTGAACATGAGGTAACCCGTTAACCCTAGGATCAACGACATGGTCACCTGAAAGCCAGAAGCGATCGTTTCGAAATATTCCAGGCTTTCCTAGTATATTATAGATGCTTTCCATTCCCTTGAGACTCATAATTAGCCCGTAACTCACAGCGCCTCTGCAGGCAAACCTACTGCCCAAGACACTTCAGAGGCAAGTACCCAGTCAACACGAACACAAATTACGTCGCCTGGAGCCACAAATCCTTCGTGATCTAAATCATGCATCGCAAATATCTTTTCACCCATGGTCATTCCTCGGCGGCCTTCTGGCCTTTGTGTTAGAAGGCAAGGGATTGAGTTTTCTCGGTCGGCTGAATTGAGTGATTCCAGCCACGCCTCCGCAAGAAACAATATTTCTGATTGTTGTTTTATTGTGAGAGAATCATGTTTGTGTATTCCTAGGCCCCCTAGCATGGTTGGCTGGTAGCAAATCCGAAGGACATCAATCAAGGCATCAGCCTCCCATTGCTTCGTATGATCGGTGCGAAGAATTTTTGAGATATTCTCCATGTATTGTAGGACATTCTGTGTGGGGGAAGTGTCTGAAAGTCCAAATAGAGAAGTTACCAATCCTGCTCAGAGCAGGTGGTGCAAATAGGTTCAAGTATACTGACCATTTGGAACGTCAATATGTATTTTCCGAGTCTGTTCTAAAATTTGAACGAGTTGGTCGAGATGTGGTGATTTGTTTTCAGGTATTGTTCCAAGCCGATTTGAGGTTGTGTCTGGTAGTCTTGAAAGGGCGAAGGGGTCTGGAATATCAATTCACGGTGGTCATACATAGGTTGCACAGCTTCACTGTACAGAGTAGTGGTACGCAAAATACTCCGTACAGCGCTCGGGCCGTGATGTGCCGATGCTACGGGACTATTTCGAGGATTCGTGCAGCTCGACCGACAGTGCGCAAACTAGCAAATTGGTCATATATAATTTGGCCTCACAAATATCCCTAATACTCTCTAGTTTTGTACCCAGTATACTGCGTACTGCATACGGAGGATATACGGAGTATATACAATATACACTACCTACTCCGTACATCAAATGTACTCTGAACCTTTACGTTGTATTCCCCGCCCTTTATGTTCGAAATAAAGTACGTGAATACTAATAAGCCAATAACAGGTCCAGGGGAAAGCTGGGTATTGTTCCGTGTGGGGCACGGGAGTAGTTTCCATGGTTCCAAGGTTTGATGAAGTGACCCAGTTAGGGAAAGCGTCAAGAGTTGTGGCTTCCCCAGCCAATCAAAACTTTCTTTTTTGGAAATGTCAAAAGAGATCCATGGATAACCCGGATGGGTTGTGGATTATGTAATATGAACATTCCCCCGGGGCCCGGGGCTATGGTTAATCTCTCTAGTCTCTTTTTCTTTGTTCCTTATACTCCCATATACTGCTTATTACTTTTCTTTAACGGCTTTCTGATATACATTATATATTTGTATACAAAATAAGGGAAAATATGGAGGCTATCGCTGTGGATCAAGACTTGTACCCCCCTGAGAGTGCGCATAGCCCCGATGACTGGCTCTCGTGAGTTTGCATGTGACTGTTGGATATCTTCAATGTTGTACTTCATTACTTACGCCGCATCAGGGAGACTACCTCGATTAAATCATCAATCTATCGTGGCTTGATGGAAAACGGGAGGCGGTAAGAGCTTCACAGATTAGACCACTGAATCTAACTTGACATCACGTTGCTATAGATATCAAGCGCTTTCAAACAAGGAATATTGGTATGTGGTTGAAGTTTCATACAACAAGACAAAATACCCATTCATCTATAGCATCCCATCCGATGAGCAACAATTTGAGACCTATGAGGCAGGGTACATATTCCAATCCCAGGCCAGAGCACGCCCCTGACCATCGCGCAGCCATCTCGTGGATCTCATCATGGATTCGGACCAGCCCAATCCACTGTTTCGGTCACCCATCGGGAGCGACCGAGAACGCCCGCTACAAGTTCTCGATATTGGAACTGGAAAGGGCACTTGGGCCATGTACGTCTGACCGTTCCGAACCTAGTGGAGATGCTAAATATTGACCATTTCTAGTGATGTCGCTGATATGTTCCCAAATGCCACTGTGCGAGGAGTTGACCTTTTCCCCCCCCCGGTCACCTGGATGCCACCCAATTGTGTCATTGAGGTCGATGATGTGCTCCAAGAATGGACATGGCGCGCACAATTTGACTTGATTCATATGCGCAATATGATCGGATCATTTGACTCTTTCGAGTGGGATCGTATCTACCAGCACTGCTTTCAGTAGGTTATCAATGCAGCCAAGTGCATTTGGACTAATCTGACTGTGCAATAGGAAAATGGCCCCTGGTGGGTGGATCGAGCAGATCGAGGTTGGCCCTTTTATCACAAGCGACGATGGAAGTCTCCCACCCGATAGTGCCTTGTCCTCATGGGGTCCACTTATGCAAACGTGTGGTGATCGTGCCGGTCGCTCTTGCGATATCGTCCTCACCATGTCGGAGAGCATCAAGAACGCAGGATTTGTAGACGTGCACGAAAAGGTCTACAAATGGCCAATTGGGCCATGGCCTAGAGACCAAAAGTTCAAGGAGGCAGGCATGGTCAATTGCCAACACTGGATGTCTGGTATGGAGGGATGGTGCATGTGGCTATTAACAAAATTTGGAGACCCCCAGCCGTGGACCAAGGAAGAAGTTCATGTATACTGTGCCAAGCTACGCAGTGAACTCAAGAACCCCTATATTCATGCGTATCACAAAGCGTAAGTTCTCATTCTTGTCTAAGTTTCCCATCGACTGACCAGTACAGGAGAAGGGTGTGGGCTCGCAAACCGATGCCTGGTGAACTCCCACCTAGGTCATCAACCTCTAGCTCCAGCACTCCTAAGGCAAACCCATGAATCCAGCTAAGGGTTCAACCGCCACAGGATTTATTGGGCAGCGGCAACCCCAGCTCTCCACTGATCCTCTCGAGGGATCGGTTTATTTCTTTATTTGTGTATATATTATGTCCGCCACGAATTATCTATTGTCTCTTGATAATGATACTCGTCCATTTCACCATTTGGTACGTAACAATCTCTACCTATGCAAGTAGTGGTTGTGCGCGTATTGTACTTGATGATCTCCAGCAAGACATGAGACACAAGACCGAAACAACTACGACAGAAAGGGTAAAAGTTGGATTACAAGATATGTCTAGAGTACGGGAAAAAAGAACAATGCTGAGGTTCATATTGTGTTATGAATACGATTTTGAGGCTTTACTGCGCGATATCGCCGGACCGTAACTTGCTCTGCCGTTGTTCAACGAATTCAAAAGCCCGGAGGATATTAGGAGCTTGATGGCCACCTAAGGGAAATTGGAATCGACCGTTGGGGGATCGGATAGAAAGCAGAATATCCTCTTTTATCGCCCATTCGAATTGCTCGTGCTCCAGTTTTTCCAGTTGAACAGGTATTTGAAGGGCTGGCACCTGTTGCTGCTTTCCTGCTGCCCATAGCAAGGCCTCTTGAACCTCGACAATGAATGAATACTTGGCCACACGGATTTTATCCCCACTACGGCGATGATGTTCCCAACAATCCACCGCGACGAGGTCAATAATGTGCGATACATGTAATCCACTTTCTTCTAGAGTTTCGCGTACAAGAGAATCGAGTAATGTTTTGTCGGTTTCCAGTTCGCAAGCACCTCCAGGGCCCTCCCAACAGCCAGGCATTGAGTCTGTCAGTGCACGCTGGAGAAGAAGGATGCGTGGGGTGGGGTCGGCATGAGAGAAGATATAAGCGCCAACACCGAACCCATTAAATTCAGGTCGAGCGGCGACAAAGTCGGTCAGAGGAATATTAAAATATTCGAGGTGAGGGGCAACGGTATAAGTCATTTTGGAGATAGGAAATGGGCTGAGTAGGTGTAGATGTTGAGTTTTATCTTCCCCGCCAAATAGCTGAGGGCTTGTTTTCGGGAAATGGGGAACAAAGCAAATATGATTAACGATGAGCGATCAACGATAAACATAGAAATTTAAAGAATAGGATGCACGAATATAAGTTATTAGAGGACTACAGTTTAAGGAAGTCCACTGAGTCATTGTATTTTCAAATTATGTATACACATTCGAGCTCTAAATCTATCTTTTTGATTTTCTTTATCGTACCCCCATGGTCTATACTATTGATCATAGACTTATCACAAAAGGGGTCGAACCGGACGATTTAATGATGGCCAAATGTACGTTATGGCGATATAAACCACAGAGTTGGTAGAGACCCAAGGTCTTAGTTGAAGACAACAGTCTTGTGCCCGTTTAAGATCACACGGCGTTCCGTGACGTACTTGACAGCAGTGGCGAGCACATTGCTCTCCACGTTGCTACCGGCATGGGTCAGCTCCTTGGGGCTCATACCATGGTTGACCCGAACGACGTTCTGTTCGATAATGGGGCCTTCATCCAAGTCACTGGTGACAAAGTGGGCAGTGGCCCCAATGATCTTCACACCACGGTCATAGGCCTGATGGTAGGGCTTGGCACCCTTGAAAGAAGGCAGGAAGCTGTGGTGGATGTTGATAATGCGACCAGACATGGCGGAACACAGGGTTGGGGACAACACCTGCATATACCGAGCCAACACAATTAAATCAATGTTGTGCTGGGTCACCAATTCCAAGATCTGGGCCTCCTGTTGCGCCTTGGTATCCGCGGTGACGGGGAGGTGGTGGAATGGGATACTATAGGTGGCCGCGAGAGTAGCGAAATCCGGGTGGTTGGAAACGATTAAAGGCACCTCAATGCTCAGCTGGCCAGTGGATTGGCGGAATAGCAGGTCGTTGAGACAGTGGCCAATCTTGGAGACCATGATCAGCACGCGGGGCTTTTTCACGGTGGGGTTGATCTCGAAGTTGAGGGAAAAGGACTGAGCAGTGGGCTCGAATGCAGTACGCAATTTCTCAAGTTCGGGGGTTTCATCTCCTCCACTTGCAATCGCAAATTGTGTGCGCATAAAAAAGCGCTCTGAGGCAGGGTCACCGAATTGCGACGAATCGATAATGTTGAGGTTGTTCTGCACAAGGAATGCGGTGACCGCATGGACAATACCAGGACGGTCAGGTCCAGAAAGGGTTAAAATGAAGCTAGAAGCCATGGTAAAAAAAGAAAAAAAAGGGCGGTGTTGAATCCGCTAATATTCCTTCAAATGTTTTAAGATGATTATAGAGAAATTACGATTCCTTTTTTTTTTTTTTTGGTCAATTCCACTTGCCGGTTTCGGCGATGACTCATCTGCCGGCAATACTTTCCCGCCTACCCCGCTGGCCGCCTAGTGGATCGGCTTTTGTTTTGATCTTCACCTTTGATCTTCACTTTTGATCTACACTTGGATCCTCACTGGGATCTTCACTGAAATCTTCACTTGGATCTTTCAATCTCTTGATATACATTGAGAATAGAAACTTAGTTTTCAAAAAATTGTCAACTAGTCTCAATTCATAAATCGCCGGATTCTATCTTAGCCGTTTGTCTAGCGCGACCAAAAAAAGCCACTCGGCACCAAAATTATGCGTCCATCTCACACCGGTGTCATGAGACTATTGCATTAGCAACAGGCCTGTGCTCGGCATTGGGTCCTTAATGCTCGTGATTAAACTAAATTACCTTGAGTACGCTAATGCAATTCACCTCTTAAGCCGAGTCTTCGCAGTCAACACAAATTACCGAGAATTGGGGCGAAGCCTGCCCCCAAGATCTACTTCCTGCAGAATCCGGGGAGTGACTAGCTGGACACGGATCGTATTTTCCTAATCCGGCCTTGCCAACATGTTTCATTTTCTCCAAATCAAGGCGAAGACGACATGGCGTTGTCCCTGTCTCATTTGGAGGCTAGCTATTTAGCCGCCAATGGGTTTGACTTCGATCTAGTTGCATTGTCGGTGCCTAGTTTGGCCAGCAAAATACATTTTTTTCTCCTTACTAAGTGGAATCTTCACAGCCATCTCGGTGGGCCACAAGACCCCCAAGACGCCTCCTCCACAAATTCACTTCAACTACTTCTAAATCCTGTCGCGGGGTCTGGGGAACGCCCTCCGTGTCCCCGGAGTGTTTGTTGCACTTCTCCATTAGGAAACATGACATTTTATCCTCATGCGGTCATACGGACCGTAGAGCCGTGACAGGATGCTCAATATGAATGCTCTATCTCGTTAGAATATAAAAGGACTCTACATCCATGTGAATCTCGAATTCCTCATCAATTCATCAAGCCCTTAACCCAGTACACATCGACACTGGACATCATGGCCTCCGCTCTCTCCTTCAAGATCTACAAAAATGCCTTGCTTTTGGCCGCCTTCCTCGGTGCCGCACACGCACAGCAGGTGGGCACAAGCAAACCTGAAGTTCATCCGTCCTTGAATTGGCAAAAGTGCACTGCTGGAGGAAGCTGCACAAACCAAAACGGCAAGGTTGTCGTCGATGCCAACTGGCGCTGGGTTCACAACACTTCGGGCTACACCAACTGCTACACTGGCAATGAATGGGATACATCTATCTGCCCAGATGATGTTACTTGTGCCAAGAACTGTGCCCTAGAAGGTGCCGACTATCCAGGCACTTATGGTGTTACCGCCAGCGGCAGCTCTTTGCGTCTGAACTTCGTCACCCAGGCTTCTCAGAAGAACATTGGCTCGCGTCTCTACCTGATGGCGGATGATAACAAGTACGAAATGTTCCAACTGCTCAATCAGGAGTTCACCTTCGATGTCGATGTCTCGAATCTCCCCTGTGGCCTGAATGGCGCACTCTACTTTGTGTCTATGGACGAAGATGGTGGCATGGCACGGTACCCTGCCAACAAAGCCGGTGCTAAGTACGGTACCGGTTACTGTGATGCGCAATGCCCGCGTGACCTCAAGTTCATCAACGGTGAGGCCAACGTTGAGGGGTGGGAGCCGTCTGCCAACGATGCCAACGCTGGTACTGGTAATTACGGCTCTTGCTGTGCTGAGATGGATATTTGGGAGGCCAACTCAATTTCCACTGCGTTCACACCCCACCCCTGCGATGACCCAGCTCAGACTAGGTGCACTGGAGACTCCTGTGGCGGCACATACAGTAGTGACCGCTATGGTGGTACTTGTGACCCTGATGGATGTGATTTCAACGCTTATCGCATGGGTGATCAGTCTTTCTACGGCCCGGACAAGACCGTTGATACCACCTCCCCCTTCACTGTGGTCACTCAGTTTATCACCGATGACGGTACCTCCTCCGGCACTCTCTCGGAGATCAAGCGCTTCTACGTGCAGAATGGCAAGGTTATCGCCAACTCTATGTCGACCATCAGCGCTGCCACTGGCAACTCTATCACCGAGTCCTTCTGCTCTGCCCAGAAGACCGCATTCAAGGACACTGACGTATTCGCTAAACATGGCGGCATGGCCGGCATGGGGGCCGGTCTTGCAGATGGTATGGTTCTGGTAATGAGTCTCTGGGACGATCACCACTCCAACATGCTGTGGCTCGACAGCACCTTCCCGGTCGACGCCTCTTCGACTACTCCAGGTGCTGCTCGTGGCAGTTGCGACATTTCCTCTGGCAGCCCTGAAGATGTTGAAGCCAACCACCCGAACGCCTACGTTGTCTACTCCAACATCAAGGTCGGTCCCCTCGGTTCGACTTTCGACTCGAAAGACCCAGGCTCCAGCACTACCAGCAAGGCTACAAGCATAACCTCCACTGCCACTACCAAGACAACTAGCAAAACTACCACCACGACTGGAGCAAGCACCACCGGCGCTCCTCACTATGGCCAATGTGGTGGAGTTAACTGGAGCGGTCCAACCACCTGTGCCAGCCCATACACCTGCCAGAAGCAGAGTGAATACTACTCACAGTGTCTGTAGGCAATAGACAGCTTTGAGTGTTGGGTGGAAAGTGGGAGAATAGGGGCCGCTCAAGATGAGAAGCTTGGAAGGATTGGATCAATTTGTCTTGCCTGTTAGCTTCACTGTTTCTGACCTTTGTGAATTTAAGAGTTTTATTTCGCTTTTGAATTGAGACTCCGTACTAGTTCCAACGTCTTCTCTCTCTCTGTGTGTCTCCTCTTATGCATGGTCAGTTCATAGTAGTAGACTTCTACGGTCTTCGTTTCCCTTAACCCAGTTCAAAACAGTATACACTGTGCGCAATATCATATCTTCACTTCATATGTATGAACTGACATATTACAGTCTCTTTTGTCCTTACCAGATGAACATAGGCTCATAGCCATATCCTCTACTATTCCTCTACTCCGATCAGTGTCGCTGCAAAGTAAATTCCGTCAAATTGAAGAGATTAGGAAAGATCATTTATCTAGCTCCCGTGATCAGCCGATTCCCGTCTAGAGGAAGAATTATAGAGGTCATTTAAGCCGATAGATAGATACTGCATGGCATACTCCATATTCCCAGGTGCATGTGGCGCTAGCTTGTTCAACTTGAAGAAGCCAGAAACCGGAGGATGCTCCGACTAGTCAAGCCACGTTGATTTCATCACCTCGGGCGCTTCCTCCCAAATACAGGCTAAAATTATATGCGCCCATTTCATGCAGACTAGTGGACATCCGGTGATTTTGGGGAAATTACAATTTGCGGGGTTGAATATTATTTCTCTGGGGAAGAAAGATAGGTCTATATACATTGGAAACGACATAGCAATTAGCAATTAGTCAAGCCTTCCGATCATCAAGGATTTTATGCGAACTCCTCTTAATACTGTTGATCATCTCCTGTTTAGTTACAATTTTACAAGTTCTTGTCGGACGAGCGGCCGAGTATTAATCTATTAAGGTCTACTCCGGATATCCCTTGAATCATATCCTAATCTCGGATGTATCACCTGAAACGAGCTAGGGCTGACAAGTGTCAAGACCTTGGCAATTCTTTAATAAATATATCAATTCACATACTTGAGCGCATTTACTATCCGGAGTACTCCGCACTCTCATTCTTCAGGTCTTTACACTTTTAGTGGCGCCTTCATAGCCTCAAATCTCCGGCATTCTAGCCACCTTAGATTGTATGCCGTGCCGAATTCGGATATACATTTTTCTCATTCCTCAAACTTATTGTAGATCGGGTGGCGGTCCGCAAAAAGAAAATCCGAATGGAGAACTTGCAGATTCCTGTCCAGGCTATACTCCGTAGTATTTGCAAGCTTCACGGTTTTAATCCTGAGCCATTCGTGATCAGGGAGTTCGGTCCTTGTCTTTATAGTCCATTATAACTTGATATAAATATCATTTGGCCTACATTTACATTCCATACCATTTTCGAGCATTTTCACTTTACCAAAATGCGATATACATCTTTACTTACCATGGCTGGTGTCACTGGCCTGGTGCTCGCAGCACCAGGGCCATCTATATCCAAAAGGACACCTTCGTTTGTCTGTATGAAATGCAACTATCCTGGCTTAAACTAGTTATCTGACCAGGTCTTGAATAGGGTTCGGCGCAAACGAAGCTGGTGCGGAGTTTGGGAGTGGAAATCTTCCAGGAGTACTGGGCACAGATTATATCTGGCCATCGACCTCAGCCATCCAAACTTTGAGGAGTGCAGGGATGAATCTATTCCGTGTTCCCTTCGCAATGGAGCGATTGGTTCCCGGGACTCTGACTGCGAGTCCGGATGCCACCTACCTAGCTGCATTGAAAAGTGTATGTGCTATAGCCTTTTGCACATAAAACATTGATACCAATACCCCAACAGACTGTCAACTCTATCACGTCTAGCGGTGCATATGCTGTGATTGATCCTCACAACTTTGGAAGATAGTAAGTTCCATTGCCTTACAGGGAGGATTAATCTGACCATATATATATAGTTATGGCAAAATCATCACCTCGACTACTGACTTTGCAGCATTTTGGAAGATGCTCGCATCAGAATTCGCGTCAAATGACAAGGTCATCTTTGACACAAGTGAGATACACTATTTCTCTCCCGGAAAGCCGTACACTGACTTTGTAGACAATGAATTCAATTCGGAAGAGCAGACCCTGGTGTTGGACTTGAACCAAGCAGCCATCAATGCTATCCGAGCTGCAGGAGCCAAATCGCAATATATCTTCGTGGAGGGCAACTCGTGGAGTGGCGCATGGACCTGGCCAACTGTCAATGACAATATGAAAGCCTTAACAGATCCACAAGACTTGATTGTCTATGAGATGCACCAGTATCTTGACTCGGATGGTTCTGGGACATCTGAGACCTGTGTTAGCTCAACCATTGGCCAAGAACGAGTTGTGGCTGCCACACAGTGGCTTAAGGACAATGGCAAGAAGGCCTTCTTGGGTGAATTTGCTGGAGGCCCCAATTCTGTCTGTAAAAGTGCCGTGACAGGTATGCTTGATTATTTACAGGCAAACAGCGATGTCTGGCTTGGTGCGTCGTGGTGGTCCGCTGGCCCATGGTGGGGAAACTACATGTACAGCTTTGAGCCTCCTTCTGGCACTGCCTATACTTACTACATGAGTCTCCTGAAAAATTACTTCCCTGGCTCGGGTAGTCCTGGGACAACCACCTCAGTCACCACTTCTACAACAACCGCCGCTACTACCAAGACCACCACAACAGGGCCAACCATCACTGGTGCACCTCACTATGCGCAATGTGGTGGAGATAGCTGGACCGGGCCGACCACCTGTGCCAGCCCATACACCTGCCAGAAGCAGAATGACTACTACTCGCAGTGTCTGTAGGTGGATCAGGGGAGGAGATATAGGTTAGAATTTAGTCGCGATCATATTTCTAGTCCAATTTTGATTCATTTATTCATTATCTAAATCTTCTACTATTTACACTTTTGTAGTCTAACAATTGTTGCCCAAGTCACTCCTCGAGAGTCACATTCTGGTGCACCAAGATTTCATTCAATTGTTATATCTATCTCACCTGCTATAGAGCAGCCACCAACTCATCCACGCTCTTCATCTCGCGCGCATTGTTCTCGCCGACGTCCAGTGCAACCAAGAACCGACTCACACAGTTATAACCGGCGATGCCGGTGGTGAGCTCCACGATGTCACGGTCATTGTACCCAACCGTCTTCAATTCGGCAAAAACATCATCTTGAACTTTGATGGTGCGAGTCATCTGGTCGGTATAGCGTAAAACAGCGCGCTGTTGCGGTGTGAGTGCACTACTCTCAAGCCCGGCAATATTACCCTCAGCGGTGCAAGGCAAGGTAAGAGTATCCTGCAATTGATCCGGCTTAATGCCACTTTTTAGGGCCAATGGAGCATGAGCATTCCATTCATAGACAGCGTTATTGAGCACGGCGACACGGCAGACTGCCAACTCCATAACACCAGAGTCAAACAGAGTACGCGACCGAATAGCTCCGATAAAGCTGTTCCAGCCATCGGCAACAGGTGGGCTATGAAGGAGAGACAGGTCAAGTGGTATCAAAGGACGGGGGTTTCTACGTTCCGCAATGCGGGCATAGATGTCGGCGGTGTCGGGGGGTGCATCGACAGGCGGAGTGGAAGGAGCGTAGGGCAGACGCATAGTTTGTATCTTCCAATTTGAGGGTATAATTGGAGGAGACTTAGTTTGAAAGCTGTAGATCAAAAGATTTATGTTTTCAAGAAGTTGGGGATATTCCAAAGTTGTGCCGAGGGGGTGGAAAATGTCTTATCCATGTGGGGGAGCGTTTCTCCGGCATTGTTTGAACGTTTGTAAATGTCTATTCTCTGGTTTTTAATAGAAGAGACAAGTTCAATAGAAACTACAGACGGGGCTAAATATCTATATTTGATTGAGATTCAATCCGTGCACACATTGTAAATATAGTATATAAGGGATATATATATATATATATATATATTTCAGTGTCTACCCCGGATGACATGGTAAAAGGTATTTGAAACTCTGAATACGCTATTCAAAGAAGTTACTATTTCCAATTACATTTATATTCATCTAAAATATCTATTCAAATCAAAATATCCCCGGCATTGTAGTAAAATACATTCCCGCGGGGTTGCCGCCCCTCAATGCCGATATTCTCTCCGCATGTGGAGAACTTTTATATTCGAGCTCTCAACTTGTATATTGTACATGTTCCGCTGTCATTTTTCACGGGCATCTGCCTTAATATCTCGATCATTCTCTCATTCTTCAATCGCTAATATGAAACATCATTTGATGATCGGTACCTGGACCGCCCCCGGGCGCATCTATACCGTGCAATTTGATGACGATGCCCTCACGCTAGAGCTGGTCAAAAAGACCGAGATCCCAGAAGCTGAGCCCATCTCATGGATGACCTTTTCTCATGACAAGAAGGCAATATATGGGGCGGCTATGAAGAAGTGGAACAGTTTCGCCGTCAATAGCCCGACAGAGATCGTTCATCAAGTGTCGCACCCGGTTGCTGGTCACCGTATGTCCAAATTCCAACTCCAATTCCAATTACTAACCTTTTTTTTTTGTTACGCATTAGCTCTAGCTCCCAGCAGCGAGACTAACACTCGTGCCATCTTCGTGCTTGCCGCCCACAAACCTCCCTACAATGTTTACGGCAACCCTTTCTACAACCACGCCGGTTACGGTAACGTGTTTTCTGTGAAGCCCGATGGAGCTCTAGACAGCAACATCCAGAACTACGAATACGTTCCCAACACTGGAATCCACGGCATGGTGTTCGATCCCACAGAGACATACTTGTACTCCGCCGATCTCACTGCAAACAAGATTTGGACACACATCAAAGATCCCAAGACGGGTGAACTAAAACTAGTGGATTGTCTCGAAGCTCCTGATGCTGGTGACCACCCCCGCTGGGTCGAGATGCACCCAAGTGGCAAATACCTGTATGCGCTGATGGAGGCGGGCAATCGCCTGGCAGTCTACGTGATCGATGAGCGCACTCACAAGCCAGTATTTACTCACATCACATACCCATTACTGCCTTCAGGTAACTATCATGACTCCTGGATATAACGATGCGAATGGCAATTAATAACCTTGTTATCAGGTCTTCCCCCACGCAACAAGTACCGTGGAGATGTCACTTTTTGCACCAAGAGTGGAAAATACCTGTTCGCCACTACTCGGTCCAACCATTTCGACGTGACCGGGTACATCACCGCGTTCAAACTTGGCTCTCATGGTGAGATCGAACGCCAACTCTTCATTAACCCCACCTCGACTAGTGGTGGTCACTCCAACGCTGTCAGTCCCTGTGACTTTAGTGATGAGTGGCTTGCACTTTGCGATGACCAGCTAGGATTTGTTGAGATGTACCGCTGGCGCGACGAGAAGCTGGCACGCGTTGCGCGTGTAGATATTCCCGAGCAAGGATTTGGTATGAATGCCATCTGGTATGATTGAATTAGAAATGTGCCAGTAATATATAATATATAGAATGTGGTTATATAAGAAAACCGAAAAGGAAAATGCCGGCAGTCAAGTTCGGGTTTTATCTTCACCCGGATGAGGGGCAATTCTGAGAATGCCGATATATAAAATTATGTCTTTAGCATCTTTCAGGTCTTTTAGATCTTTTAGATTTGTTAAAATATTTTGAATTGATTCCCTTCATTACATCCTCATAATGCCTACTCCCGGTCTTCTCTACGTGACAATGCAGCCCAGGGCCTCGCTGCCAGATACCCAGTTCCACGACTGGTACAACACTGAACATGGACCTTTGCGTCTGCGATTGCCCTTTATCACCAATGGTTTTCGCTTCCGTGCCACAGATGGAGAGCAGCCTGAATATGTGGCTTTGTACGATATTACCGACATGGACGAGTTGACCCGCGAGACCTATTTGAATCTAAGAACCGACTTGATTAAGACCGAGCGGGAGAAGAAGACTATGGCACAAATCGATGTCGGCCGTTTACTGTATGATCTAATGGATGAGCGTCGTGATCCCAACTTCCGCCCACTAGAAGATCGAGCCGATACAGATGCCGAGACCCGGGGTAGTGTCCTCGTCGCCGTCCGAGTTGCCACTCACCCTGATCCCACCAAACAAGCCGATTTGGAAACATGGTACCGCGAGGAACACTTTGAGATGCTCTCCCGTGTGCCTGGATGGCGTCGGAGTCGTCATTTTGTCACTGCGGCCATTGATCCCGCCGCTCCGCGCGAATCACTCACTCTCCACGAGTATGCCCCCATCAATGGCCTTGGAGGCGATGCTCACAAGGCCGCCATGAATACCCCTTGGGGATCGCGTCTCATGAGCGAGGTGGTCACCTCTAAGAAGCGTCGCGTATATGAATGGTACTACACCTTCGGCCCTGCTCCCCGTGAGCTCGCTTCGCTGGCTGCCCCGGATGTCATCGGACCTTGGAACTCCAATGATGGCCGTACCCGCACATTTCCCTCGACCGTTCGCCCGGCTGTTGAGTCGTTCATCACCACTTCTGATGGTGTTGAAATCCCCTACCGACTGGAGGGTAGCACTGACCCCCATGCGCCCGTCGTGGTACTGAGTAACTCCATCCTGGTTAACTGGGGCATCTGGGATCGTTTTGTTGACGCCTTCTTTGCCCATCCGCAAAACCAGCGCTATCGTGTTGTGCGCTATTTGACTAGAGGCCGACGCTCGCAGAGTGGTGAACAGCCTGTCAACATCGATTTGCTGGCCTCCGATCTGGCTACATTGCTGGAGGCTTTGCGTGTGCCTCCCAAGGCCGCTCGTTTGATCGGTGTCAGCTTGGGCGGTGTGACCGTTTTGAACACTTCTCTCCTTTACCCAGAGCGCGTCGGAGCTTTCATCGCATGCGACACCAACTCTTCCGCCCCGGAATCCAACCGCAAGGCATGGGGCGACCGTGTCGCCATCTGCGAGAAGGAAGGCTCTACCGATTTAGACACCAAGGAGCCCATTGTAGGCGAAGAGTTGGCCGAGGTCACCACCCGTCGCTGGTTCGTGCCGGAATCATATCAAACCCAGCCCGAAGTTCTTGCAGCCGTCAAGGAGGCTGTGCGCACCAACAGCTTGAAGGGATTTGCCCATAGCGTGCAGGCCCTCTGTGCCTACGATATCCGCGAGCGCATGGCTGCTGCCACTGTGCCAGGCCTATTTGTTGCTGGGGCCAATGACGGTGTTTTGCCCCAAACAATGCAGAAAATGGCAGTGGACCTACGTGGTGGCGCCGATCTTAAGATCATCGACAGTGCTGGACATCTGCCCATGGTGGAGCAGCCTGTGGCATTTGCAGAAGTTGTGACTGAGTTCCTCACTAAAATTGATGGTTGATTGCATTTCTATGGGCGTGTAGATAGATTCCGTTCTCCGTATACCCCCATGTTGAATATGTTCATGAACATCCACCCGATATGACCGCGTATCGCCCCTTCAACTGCTTGTATGGAGTATAATTCTAATCAAATCGCGACATCGGATCTAGCAATGTGTATGCGGGGGGATAGGCGTCGGATCTCCTTTTCAGGACTTTCCTATATCGTCTCGAGGAAATGTCCGTATGGCGAAGGTCGCGAGGATGCCGTGAACCATGATCGGGTGGTTCGAAGTACTGGGTCAACTGTATGTTACGAGTCAGACTAAGGTCAAATCATTGAATTAAAGATATAAAAGATAAACAGAATCAAATTGTATCAAATCGTGGAGTAAACAAAGAAAGGAGAAAAAGTCGAGCTCGACAATTCGGCAGACGAAGGCGGCCAAGGGCGAAATTCAGCTTTGCGGGGGAAACACAACTGCACTTCCTCCTTGACAGTCTTCTACTTCCTCACTCTCTTTCGCTATTTCTCTTCCTTAATTCTTTTCTTTTTATCATGCCTGAGAGCAAGATTCCTCAACCGGGACCTGCCAAACTTAAGCGCAATGCGGGCCCTGACGAGTGGCTGGAGGCAGCCAAGGATTGCAAGTATCTATCTGAGCCACATATGAAGCAGCTCTGTGAGATAGTCAAGGAATACATGATGGAAGGCAAGTGAATTTTTGTCTGGACTTGATTTATCTATTCTGACTCTGTAGGCAGAATCAAATATCCAACCAGTATCGACACCTGTCACAGTCTGTGGTGATATTCACGGCCAATTCTACGACCTCTTGGAACTCTTTCGAGTTTCCGGGGGTATGCCTGACGGTACAGAACTGGACCCTCCGAAGACATCTCCCTCCGTGATTACCTCCGCCGATATCGAACCCCCCTCTAGCATCTCAGACCCCAAAATTCGCAAGAAGCTTCGCGGCCCCAACGTGAATTCCAATGATGAGGAGGAAAATGCGAGTACACGAAGCCGATCGGGCAGTGGTACATCCGAAGATCTCCAGCTTAACCGTAACTTCGTATTTCTGGGTGACTACGTGGACCGTGGATACTTCAGTCTAGAGACGTTAACGCTTTTACTCTGTCTCAAAGCAAAGTCAGTGACACCTTGTAGATGAGAATGTTCACTGCTAACGTCAATTAGATACCCCGATCGAGTCACATTGGTTCGTGGTAATCACGAGTCGCGCCAAATTACCCAGGTATACGGTTTCTACGAAGAATGCTTCCAAAAATATGGCAGTGCTTCAGTATGGAAAGCATGCTGTCAGGTTTTCGATTTCATGACATTGGGGGCCATTATTGATGGCAAGGTGCTGTGTGTTCACGGCGGTCTGAGCCCTGAAATTCGCACATTGGACCAAGTCCGTGTGGTAGCCCGCGCACAGGAGATTCCCCATGAGGGTGCCTTTTGTGATCTCGTATGGTCTGACCCAGATGATGTGGAGACATGGGCTGTCAGTCCTCGTGGAGCAGGTGGGAATTATCCTTTTTTTGGGGGAGGACACACATAGCTGACAATTCTAGGATGGTTATTCGGAGATAGAGTGGCCGATGAGTTCTGCCATGTTAATGATCTCTCGTTGATTGCACGCGCTCATCAGCTGGTCAACGAGGGCTACAAATACCACTTTAACAACCAAAATGTCGTCACTGTGTGGAGTGCACCAAACTACTGCTACCGATGCGGAAACCTGGCCTCGGTTTGTGAAATCGGGGAGGATCTTAAACCCACCTTCAAACTGTTTAGTGCAGTCAGCGATGACCAGCGACATGTTCCAACTTCGCGTCCAGGGCGCAGCGAGTACTTTTTGTAAGATTTGATGCAAGTTCTGTACCAGCGCTGGCGTTCGGTTTGGTATTTGGGCGGAAGGATGAGCATTATATAATGATTTAGACCAGACTTAACGATGCATACGCCTTGTGTTTGGATATGAGAAACCAAATGGATATAACAAAGAGAATCGGCATATCTGTAACTTGTCTCCCGATAAATTAAACAAGCTATAATATCGAGAAATATAAAGACTGCCGAGGCCAATGTCATATCCATTCCCTTATCGGAACGCATCCCGAGGTCCGGATCACATCCCGGATCACATCCCGGACTCACCATAAAAGACACCAAATATACTAACTACACACACCATATATTTAAACAATGGAGAAAGTTGATGTCCTCATTTGTGGCAGTGGATCTGCTGGTCTTTGTGCTGCAACCTGGCTCGCCAAGTATGGGGTGCGGTGCAAGATACTAGAACGACGGGATGGTCCTATGAAGATGGGTCAAGCCGACGGTGTACAATGTCGTACTGTGGAGATCTTTGAAAGCTTTGGAATTGGGGAAGAGCTTCTTCGTGAGGCCTACCATGTTCTAGAGGTCAACTTCTGGGCGGACAATGGTACAGGCGCCATCAAGCGGACAGGACGGACAGCGGATACCCAGCCAGGTCTATCACACCAACCTCACGTCATTCTGAATCAGGCACGTATCAACGGGCTCCTAATCGAGTTGATGCAGAAATACAATGACCAACAAATTGACTATGGCTACAATGTGACCGACGTCAAAGTCGATACAGCCTCTGCCGATGATTATAACGCGTATCCAGTCCAAGTCACTGCAGAAAAGGACGGAAATACGACAATATTTGCATCAAAATATGCACTGGTAGGTGCTCATTATTCTTAAAAGGCTTAGAGACTTTCTGACCCAATTATTAGGCTTGTGATGGGGCACACAGCATTGTCCGTAAAGCCCTCGGGTATAAAATGATCGGAGACAGTAGTGATGCCGTCTGGGGTGTGATGGACATGGTGCCCCGAACCAATTTCCCTGACATTCGCAAGAAGTCTACTATCCGCTCACAATCAGGAAATATTTTGATTATTCCCCGTGAAGGCGATAGTCACAACCTTACGAGGTTCTACATTGAACTTCCCCCAGGAACCATCCCGAAGGAGGTGAAGCTAGAAGATTTGCAGGCCCAAGCACAAAGCATCTTTCATCCTTACAAGGTAGATTTCGTGGAGACAGTCTGGTGGTCTGCATACGCGATCGGCCAACGTCATGCCGATTTCTTCCACAAGGATAACCGGGTCTTCCTCGCTGGCGACGCTTGCCACACTCATTCCCCCAAAGCTGGTCAGGGTATGAATGTCAGTTTACAGGATGGCTACAATATTGGTTGGAAGCTCGGCGAAGTTTTGACTGGTCTGTCTAGTCCCTCACTTCTGGAGACTTACGTCCTAGAACGTCAAAAGGTGGCCATTGATCTAATTGAATTTGATCGTTTCTTCTCCAAGTTATTTTCTTCAGGTGCCTCAACTTCTCCTGCCGAGTTTCAAGAAGGCTTCATCAAATCTGGCAAATACACCGCAGGCTTAACAGCCAAGTATGAGGTCTCTCCTATCACCACACTGGAATCGACCAAGCTTGCCTTTAACGTGGCCGTGGGTATGCGACTGCCCAGCGCGCAGGTGGTGCGATTCTGTGACTCGAAGCCCCTACAGCTCATGAAGTCTCTCAAGTCCGATGGCCGATGGCGGATCATGGCCTTCATAGGGGACCTCACTGTACCAGAAAACCACTCAAAACTAAACAAGGTATGTTTTGCAACTATCACCACCTTACCTGAGCTTTATCTAATCCATCATATAGCTGGGGGAATACTTGAGCGCGGCCGATGGGCCCATCCACTCATTCACCCCGAGGGATAAAGATATTGACAGTCTCATCGAGATCATTTTGATCGGACATGGAAGCCGCCATGGTGTTGAGCTTGAGCAGATCCCCGAGTGCTTTTATCCAATCTCTGGGAAGAACCAAACAAGAGGTATAGTTCTCGGATTTCTAATCTTTACTTTATCCATCCCTAACCTAGAATATTCAGACCTACACAAAATTTATTACGACGACAACAGCTACAACGACGGCCATGGCCATGCATATGAATACCTTGGCATTGACCCGACACAAGGCGCTCTTATTATTGTTCGCCCAGATCAATGTAAGCAAATGCCTGGTAGTGAGATATTTTACTTATAACTAACACTTTCGGATTACTAGATGTGTCTGCTATTATGGGTCTAGGTGATTATTCTGAAATCGGCAAGTTCTTTGCTGGGTTCCTCAAACGCCAAAGGTATGTTGGATTACCATATTGGTAATGAAGGATAACAGCTAAATAAAATTTACATTAGGCACATGGATTCTAGTCAAGCATCCAGCTCAGTTGGCAGCAGACTGTAGGGAGGAACAGGGTGGTATGACATTCGTCTAGATAGCGTCGGTTCATGGCTCAAAGCTACGCCTAACATATCTCTTCGGTTTGAATATGGCTCTAGAGTAACCAAACTCACGAATGTCTATACTTCTATCGGTTCAAAGGTGAAGGTTAATGTGTTCAAGGGGGGATCAAATTAAGGAAGGCGGCCGATACTTAGGTAGGTGTGAAGAGTGACTACGACATTAGTGCTGTTCTGCAAAGATAGATGTAAGTGCAAGCTTCACTGTGCGTGAAAACGCTTTAGGAAATATTCGGCCAGGTTGACATATTGTCCCTGGCTCACGTTTTGCTGAGCCAGGATCTGCTCGGCCACATCATACGCCCAAGTAAACTCGGAATGAAAGTGGCGCAATTCCCATAGACGCTGACGGAGCCATCTTTGATGCGTTACATCATTAGTTTCGATCGCTGCCATCAACAGCGGCAAATGTAAGCGCCTGAGGAGCTTCGGATCAGACAAAAATTGCTTTCGGGCAATCTCAATGATTCCTGCTAGAGCTTGTTGATGGATGCCCATAGGTAAAGCATCAACGCACAGAAGGCGACGGTGGAGAAGTACCTGGGCGTAAAAGTTGGAGACGGCCATGTATATGGTATTGAGTGTACGTCGAACCCAAACTCTACCGGCAAATCTGGAGGTGATAAAAAGGTCGGAGAATTTCTAATCAAACAATTAGTAACTCTCTCGAACTTTTGGGGGCTACCTCTACTAACTTCTCGGATATCGAGCATCTCGCGGAAAAGAAGTTTGGCGCAGCCGGTGGTACCAGCCACGGATTCCATGAGAACCTTCCAAGTTCGATGGCGTAGGCAAAATCCAGCGTGCAATAGCTCTAGAGCTCTATAGTTTTCAATATCGTCCATAACTTCTTCATCGGGGTACTGCTCGCCCCAGAAGCATCGGCCCCAGAGACGAGCACAGCGATGAAGATGGTCTGGCTGCAAAGCGGGATTCCCGGACTGGGCCACATAATCGTTGAGAGACTCGGTAAGACCAATGGGGCGGCAACTAGCATCGATGTATCTGTCCCTTCGTCAGGCGTAGTCGTTTATAACGGCTGGAAAAAAAGCTCACAAAATCCACAACAAAAATTGCTCCGGAATGAAGGAGACCTTAGCTACAGTCACGGTATCATTGGTCGATGTATTGATTCCTGGGGGCAAGAACATATCGTTCACATCTTTGATGCGGAATAGTTGCGGGTGTGTTTCCAGAAGCGAGCGGACGCCCTGGAGGTGGAGTTGAAGCTGGAATGCGTTAGCCAATGATAATTCTGGTCAGTACATGAGTGCATTCTTACGTGGCGCACCGAGTGTCCAAACTGCCACTCCCATGCTATCATCAAAAAAACAGTGGCGAAAACCGTCTCAACATCATCCAATGAAACTTGGCGGGGTGTCTCAAGTAGTTGCCTGAATTCTTTGACCGCTTGGCTGTAATGGTACCGACCATGATCCTGAGAGTGCATATTTAGCCCATTGCGGTGCATATCAGACGCACTTATTGCCAATATCATCCGCATTATGACTCTATTTGATGTAGCTGGGCCTTCGTAAAGGTGGCTATTTTCGTCCAATTAGCCGGTTGAAATCTTCGAGTCTTGAGTGGGCGGTAGCCATGAAAGTCTCACCAGAGGCCGCTCCACTTCCATCCCTTCATGTAGTAAAATACAAGCGAGGAAGATGGGAAGTACTGGAAGTATTGTCGATCAAGAGAGGTGAGAGTCAATGAATTGGTGCAGGCGACATTGACATTCAAGGACGCGTAAATTGGGATTGAAATTAGTGCAGGGTCGTAAGTGTCAACGGAAAGAGCGTCGGGTGCCCAAGAGACCGGCGATAGGTTTGTAGAAATGGTATCTGGTTGAAATCCGACAAGGTTCTCAACTCGGCCTTGAGTGTCTGACTGATCCGGTGCAGGTTCGAGATGTCGAATTTGCGTGCTTCTACCACGTTTCACTGGGACCCCCCATTCGCAATTGAGTCGCAGAGATGAACATCTTGCGCAAACTGGTTTCTCTTCCCCGCACTTGACCTTGCGACGGCGGCAGGTACTACAGCCTACCAAGAAGTGGGTTAGTCGGCTATACAGTAAAGCGAGTGAAAATTTCCTACCACTCTTAGAACGCGGGCCATTGCGTCCAAGACCCTGCATGGACATGAACCACCAGGGGTCAAACTGTAGGCATCAGCGAAAGAAGATCGGAGAAAGCGAATTGAATGGGAAAAAAAGGTGTCGGCATGGGTGGACAATCTCAGTGCCGAAGCCGATAAGATAATGCGGGGAAGGCTGAGTCATCATGACATCAGCAATCGGGACAGTTTCTTTTTTAGGGTGAGTAGTCGGATGAGCTACTATATTAGGGATAAAGTTGTTTTTACTGTCAAGACGAACTTATACAGACTTGGAAGCGCTCAAAATTTTCTATATTGAAGAAAATTAAAGGATTTTTTGTACAATGTTACGACCTTGGGACGTACTTCGCAAAATCTCTTCTTTCTATTGACGTTGCACCAATTTATACAGTTCCTACAATCATATCTCTCGAATGGGGTTCATCGAGAGATATAGACCCAAAGATCCAACCCATTTTACTTACTCGTTTAGTGAAGAAGAGAAATATGAGGAGCGATCAGTGGGGGAGAGCAAGAGTCTATAAGTGAGCCACCATTATTCTATCACAACCCCTTGTAACCTTGTTCGAGAGACCCGTAGATAGATCTGAAGCCAAAGCAGGGAAGAAACAAGGATCCAAAAGTAACCCAACGTAAAATAATGTTCATATATCTTACTTTGTTATTTTAAATCATGCTATGTATATTGAAGATGCTATCTATACATATCGCATGTACCAGCATATACTAATAAAGAAAGAGTCTACTGTTACCCTACATCGGTATATATCTAACTATATATTAGTCCGAGATCCGTGTGACAAGCATATATGCAAGGAACGCCTTTAATATTAAATATTTTCAAATAAATAATGCTGGCACTTTTCATTACCACGACTGGTCATCGGTCTCCGACAGCGATCATCTGCGCTTTTGTCTTTATTTTACCTAAATGTCATGTTACATTCAGAGTCACTTATCCTGTAATATGTCATCCATGTATTTCGGTCTAATATAGACTTATCTAAGTTTAACACATATTCGCCGCCATCCTATATAGACGTCGGGTTTCGTGTGAATCTTTTGTTCGGCTCATACTTCTCTTTTCGTTCATAATACTCGGAAAATTTGTTTACCGACTCAACATCTAGACTTTAAATATGAAGTCCACTTGCACAATTATTACAGCGCTACTCGCTACCTCTGTCGTCGCCTCTCCTCTCACCTCTCAACGGCAGTCGACTCGATCTGCCCGAGCCACGCGCCGCACAAGCCGTCCTTATAATCCAGGTACCTCAGATATCCTCTATCTGAACCATTCGTCCCAGGAGACTTATAGCTCAAACTGGGCCGGGGCTGTGCTTATTGGTACCGGATACACTTCGGTATCTGGAGAGATCACAGTTCCTGTCCCCCAACTTCCAAGGGGTGCTAATTCCTACACAAATTACTGTGCCTCTGCATGGGTTGGAATTGATGGCGATACCTGCAACACAGCCATTCTACAAACAGGAATCGATTTCTGCATCCAAGGGGACACTACCTCGTACAGCGCGTGGTACGAATGGTATCCAGACTACGCCCATGACTTTAGAAATGTCCAGATCTTGCCTGGAGATGTTATTAAAGCAACCGTCAATGCAACTTCGAGAAGTTCCGGCTCTGTTACTGTTGAGAATCTATCCACAGGCGTATCTGTGACGCATATATTCCCTCGTGGCCTCGGTGGTAGCCTGTGCGAGTTCAATGCCGAATGGATTGTGGAGGACTTCTCCATAAACAACGCATTGGCTCCCTTTGCCGACTTTGGCACCGTAGTATTCTCCAATGCGGTTGCCACACGCGGTAGGAATACGTATGGTCCGTCGAACGCTACTGTAATGGACATCTATCAGGACCGGATTCTCACATCGTCTTTTGTTGACGGAAACACTGTCACTATTAGTTACGTCTAGTTTCGACAACAAACCAAGTAAATTTTTCAAACTCTTCTCCAAATCATTCCGGTACAACAAGTGAGACTCTTGGGTTACCCAATATTGCTGCATTATTTCGGTGCTTGTGCTTTTCATTAAATACTATGTGCTTCACCATACCTCGTGCTTTTTGTGCAATATCTACATCTTACAGCAGGTTTTGTCAGACGGCTCACAGACACCCAACGCGCTTCCCTTGTTATTGATCCATTGATGCAAGGAGTCAGGCTGGCACCTTCCCTATGGCTTCCGTAAGCCATTAAACACTTTGCTTTCGTAGATGTAGTAACAACACCTTATCAAAACAGTGAATCTGAATCTAAATCAATAATAAGAATAGTAGGCCGCATAAGCGGCCTTGTGACGTCCTTTCAGTAGTCCTTTCAGTGGTCTTTCCAGTCGTATATTTAGTAATCTTCTCAGATATCATTCTGCTTAGATAGGTCGCCGGCAAAAGAAGGTGGAAAAGGCGTTCCTATATAATGTGAGCTCCACCTCTACTTACTCAATTTCAGCTTGAACAGAATGCATGCTAACATGTTCCTTGAACATACAAACAATCTCAGCTCCCCACCCTCCTTCCTCGTTGGTTTCTTCTTCTTTCTGTTTCTCTTTTTGGTGTGTAAAACTTCGCCTATCATATGCTTACAAGGGGGGCCGCATGCCGGAATCAGTTCATTATATTATATATTTGCAGAAGCCTGTGACGAAAGAGTCAACGTTCCAGCGTCGTCTGGCACTCTGATCCCATGAAATCGGCAGAGAGCATCTTGCACCACATCATAGCAAGCTCCGTATCGCACAACTTTCATTGTTCTAAAATCGATCATGGTAGAAGAGGCTCGAGGATGGTCAAACTTTTGCCTCCCATAATCGATAACTATATCTGCTACCTCGAGTATCTCTGGCTCGATGTCCTCGATGACAATCTTTGCTCCCTTGCCGGTGAGATTAGCCGATGATCCCATCAGAGGAAGTTTTTCTAGGGAAGCAAGTCGAGACAATTCGTCTAGTAAAGCGCCCCCATTGATCAGCATTGCTAGAGTGTCCTCAACGATGCTCTGTGTTAATATATTTGGTGGAAGCTTTTGAATAATAGGATGGTCATGGCGATACGGCGCAACAACCCCGAGTGGAAGATCCAAGTCCACGGTCAAGAGTTTGACTATGCCGGCTTCCTTGGGGGGAAGAACATGCACATCTTGATGCAGAAAGTAATTGCCAACCATTGCATGTCGCTTGTGTGGTTCTCGCCTTTTCGTTCGGAAAATCCGGTCTATTGCGTCTGGATCGATGGCGGTTATTCCGTAGCCAACGCTCATCGGAATAATCGCAATACCACCCCGTTTCAGAACTTCGAACACCGCTCTAGCATCGTCCTGTGGGCTGGGGCGTTTATAGGAAGACATGTCGTATAGAGGAGTGTGTCCTGGTGAACATTTGAGTATCGAAGCTCCATTCTGGAGTGACAAGTGGACTTTAATATATAATCAACATGGTATTCAATTTTGGTCAAATTGTGTAATACGAAGGAACCCGAAAGATGTGATACAGAACTGTTATCTCCCAGAAATTCATGTGAATAATAGTAGAATTAGATTGGCCTCACATTCTCCAGCGAATACATAGAACAGATCATAGGACGTAGAACATAGCAATCGGTTAAGTTTCCTTACATGCTCCTCTTGAAGCATCCAATCAAACTCTTAGCTCACTCAATGCTCACAGAGGACTCCTCAGAAAGGAAGTGCCCACGACTGGCACCTTCGTTATCCTTGAGTTGGGATACAGTCACATTGGATAATTCAGTTGGCCACACCGCATGCCAAATTCCCTGTGCCCGAACAGAATATTCATGTCCCTTTTCAAGTCCTTCAACCGGCAGATTGACAGTTACATCAAGGGTTTGACGTGCTCTTATCTCAACGAGATCATTCTTAGAGGCAGGTAGCTTGCGTGATACCATGATAGTAGGAATTGACAATTTCCGTTGGTCCGATGTGTCACAAATCTCGAAAACACCGAGGACACCAGCCTGAGGGTCTAATGGGGTACCCCATCTTAAGATAGTGACTGGTGAATCTGCGGCATTGTGAACAGAAACTTTGATTGGTAGAGCAAATGGTTCTTGTGCTAAGATCGGAGCCTGGGGGGCTAATGTGACCTGCAAACTCAAGTTTGATTCCATATTTGCGTCCAAATATAAAATAGTTGTGAGAGGAAAAGGATGAAAAAGAGACGGAGTAATTAGAAAAGTTGACAGTGGATGGTAGTATCCCGAGGTTGAGGGTGTCAAAGGTTTGTTATCACGCCTTATATCTAGAAACATCGATCATGGTGACGATTTCTCATTTCAGTCCAATCAAGTTTATTAAATTGTACGCCAAGTCGACTGAACAGGACACTCTACCGCATTTCCTCCGGGACTCCGTGCAACACTCCTAGTAAACTTGGCATCGCATTTTATCTAGACAGGCATTTCATCACAATGGCCAAGCCTCTACTAACTTGGCTATTTCGGACATTAACCCTCTTAAAGGCCAAGGACTAAGCATTATTTATCAAATCAAGACTTCTGTGCCGTCTTGGGTGGTATCTTGGCACCGGAGTCCGACGTCAAACACAGGGTTTAGGGCTTGGCATAATATGGGGCTTTGCAGGTCATTGAAACATATGACTTATTGCTTATTGTCATTATGATTACCAGGCATAATATTTCTACATTGTCGTTGCTTTCCAGTTCTAACAATGGTGGTGTATTTGTTTTCTATAATCATCTTCAATGTCCTTATACTTAAATTTCATACCTTAGCCAAAACACAAGGGTCCACCTAGGAGCTTCCTTTTAGCGCCAAACTATTCTTTATTTGGAAGCAATCGTGAGGAGTTATATCGAACAGCCCCCGCTTTTCAAGCATAATGTGGAATTAAATGCAGCTTGAATAAGCCTCCAGGCATCTAAACTCACTAAAGTCGGTCCATCAGGGGCGCGGGTTTCCGTCGGGCCAAGATGACATCCGTGATGATCTTCTGAAGATGTAGCCATTTCAGGATATCTTCAACCAGTGACAAGATTACCAGCTGATCTGCCACTGGGTTTTTAGCTATCTCAAGATATCTTCGACCAGTGACGAGTTTGCCCGCGCTGCCGTGTCCGCAGGTCTCCTGTCTCAGTCCTATACAAGCTTAGCTTTTGGCGTGATCAAGGTGTTTCATGCAGAGAAGATACCACCCTCTTTCTTCTGCTGTCCTTCTAGGCAGCGGTGAGAGATGAAGGAGAAAGGAAATCACGACGTTTCACTTCGTGTCAGCGAGCTATAAAGCAGTCGACATCTTCTCGAGAACGGGGGTTTTTTTATTCCATCAGCATCCGAAGCATCAGACTTACAACCTTTCTTTCGAGTCCTTCGACCTCTGAGCATCATGCGTTTTGCCGCCCTTTCCACAACACTTCTGGCTCTGGCTGTGAACGCCTTGCCAGTCGATACCGATAACACCTCTGCCCTCGATATTACCTTGAGCCGTGTCAGCGACACCCGCATCAAGGCTGTCGTGAAGAACGCTGGCAACGAGGATGTCACGTTTGTTCATCTCAACTTCTTCCGTGACAGCGCACCGGTGAAGAAGGTCAATGTCTTCAAGAACGGTATCTAAACTTTTCCAGGGCACTATCGGTTTAATGCTAATTTGATATAAGATGCTGAGGTCGCTTTCGAGGGAATCAAGCGTCGATTCGTCCTCAAGGGTCTCACCAAGGAATCTCTTACTTCCCTTGCTGCAGGAGAAACCTTCGAGGATGAATTCGACATTGCCGCTACCACTGACTTGTCGGGTGGAGGTCCATTGACTCTCCAGTCTACCGGCCTGGTGCCCCTAGTCACCGATGGTGAAGTCACTGGCTATCTCCCATATCGTTCCAATGATCTCAAGATCGAGGTTGACGGTGCCAAGGCATCCCAAGTCCTAAAGGCTATCAAGCCGCTCGATCGTCGTGCCCTTCAATCCTGCAGTGATTCGAGCAAGAAGTCTGCTCTTAACACTGCTCTCAAGAACACTGTCAAGCTCGCAAATGCTGCCGCCACGGCTGCTACTTCTGGATCTGCATCCAAGTATGTTAGATACCATTCCATTGCAAATTAATCATTCTAACAGCATCTGATAGGTTCCAAGAGTACTTCAAGACTACCAGCACCGCCACGCGCAAGGTCGTGGCTAATCGCCTCAAGGCTGTGGCAGCGGAGGCGGGCTCAGTCTCTGCTACCAAGTACTACTGCTCAGACACCTTGGGATAGTAAGTAACTCCTATCGGTGGAGCCTTTATGTGCATACATGGCTTACAAATATAACAGCTGCGAGCCCAATGTCTTGGCTTACACTTTGCCATCTCAAAACGTGATCGCCAATTGCGATATCTACTACAGCGACCTCCCAGCATTGGCTAACAAATGCCACGCTCAAGATCAAGCAACCACCACTCTTCACGAGTTCACCCATGCTCCAGGAGTCTACAGCCCTGGAACTGATGACTTGGGATACGGATATGATGCTGCGACAGGCCTCAGCAGTGCAGATGCTGTGATGAACGCTGACTCGTATGCCTTGTATGCCAATGGTTAGTGTCCCAGGTCAATTTCCCCTAATGGAAATCAGCTAACCAAGAGAAGCAATTAACCTCAACTGCTAAATCGCCAATTCTCCATATAATTGCCCCGAGAGTGTACGAAGCAAGAAGCGCCAGGGCCAATTTCAATTTTCCAGGTATCAATATTCTGATGCGGCTTGTCGATCGGGTACTATTTATGAGCGGACATCATTGTGAATGAGAAATAGTAGAGGCTATTGAGCATGCAGTGTGATGATGGAAGATCTGTATGGAAGAATATATGAAGAGACAGGGTATTTATACCCCTGTGAAATAGCAAACAAATTGTCGAAAACTAGCAAGCAAATATCTCAGTCTGAACTAGCAAACAGCGTAGCGAACGGCAGTGTTGATATCAGAGAAAGATTTATGTATCTAGTCAGCTGGCTGAAGAGCTGTACTAGCAAATGATATCGTCAGACGAGTATACCTCGGTCCGTGAGCTTTTGGGCCTCATATTAACCAATGATAACTACTTTCCGGATATAGGATCTGGGGCAGATGGTTATTTTCTATGACATGAGAGGAAAACCACGATCCACTTCTTCTACGCTGGGTTACAGAAATATTACCCAGAGCGGGTTCGAATCTATAATGCCTACAGGTGAACTCCCATGTTAACAGCTCGATCTGCTATGATCACAATAGATAGTTGATCAAATCTCAGATGAAGATTCCAATAGTTGGTTTCTCTATCTTATAAAGTTAGTTTGCTTTGACAACACACACTCCCACGAAGCTCTGTGGTCGTAATCCAGCCATGACATCCAAACATAGCATCGCTCATAGGAAATTGATGATCAAATGAGCTAAGAGCACTTCAAGGATTAGTCCTCCACAGGCAGTGCACCCTCGGCTTGCATCTCGAGAGCCACCTCATCCACCTTCTTCCACACCCTCAATAGATTGCCTCCTACCACTTTACTTACATCTATATCGCTGACCCCTCGTTTCAGCAGCTCCTTTACCAGATTCGGGAACTTGGACACATCCTCCAATCCTCGAGGAACCGTCGGAATACCATCAAAATCACTACCTATTCCGACATGCTCGAAGCCTACAAGATTACCAATGTACAGGATATGATCAGTGACACGTTCCAGAGTGGCGTGAACGGGGTCCGCGTCTGGGATCCCATCATCGCGGTCAGAAGCCTTGCAGGAAATAAAGTCTGGTGAGAAATTGACCATAACCAGGGAGTCCTTCTCACGGACCAGCTCCAAGATGTCATCTGGTACGTTGCGCGGGTGGGGACAAAGTGCATAGGCTGAGCTGTGGCTGTAAATCACAGGAGCACGGCTCCCTGTCCATTCGGATTTTCCGGCACCCAGCACATCACGCATGGTCTCCGTGCTGACATGGGCTAAATCGACGATCATCCCAAGGCGGTTCATCTCAAATACCAGCTTCTGACCTTCTTCACTGACACCATGCCAGAGAGGATCGGACTTCTTTATTCCACCGCCTGGAAGTTCGAGAATAGCGGCGTCGGCATACCGATTATGGCAATTATGCGTCAGAGTGGCGTACGAAACCCCCAGCTCATAGAAAATCCGGAGGTGGGCCAGTGAGTTGCCGATGGAATGCAATCCCTCAATACCAAGCGGCGAGATGATCTTTCCCTCGCGGAAAGCGGACATGGCAGTGGTACCATTGGGCGGGGTCGAGAAGACCTTGGGGTAGGCTTGCTGAATCCTCGACATGATATCCACCTGCTCCATCGTCTCGCGCACGCCTATAGTTCCAATGTGAGTATATTATGCAACAACCATCGTACCAAGCTCCCTTACTTGCTGCATAATTCTCGTCCGAGAAATCGGTCCCATTTTCGGGACAGGCCACGAAGACACTCCAAAAGGTACCACCAACCCTACCTTGTTTCAATCGAGGGATATCAACGTGGCCGGGGAATTTCCCCTTAACAAAAGCCTCAGTGAAGTTGTGGTCATTTACGCGGTTGTGAAATAGTTCCCGGACCAAGATGGGTAGATCATCATGACCGTCTGTTGAAGGCCATCAGTCATAATTGTCCACAAAAGATGAACTATTCTCTCCAATCTCCATACCGATCAACGGAGTCTGTGATAGGATCTTCTCCGCCCTTTTCTCGATGCTTAGGGGAGGACAGGAAGAGTGGGATCGTGTGAACCAAGCGATGGATACAATGACACAAATAAACAGCCAAATTAAATTGCAGGGGCGCTTTTTCTGTCTTAAGTCCGGCGCATCCCCTTGGCTCTCTAGGACGGGGCTCTTCTCGTTCATTTTGGACATCTAGTCGGGAGATGTTGTGAGGTCGAACCTGTGATCTGGTCCTTGCAAGGAGAAGAAGATGCTTATCGATAAGGCTGACCTCCAGAGGGCTCCCCGGGGCCGGACAATCCGAGGTCGAGATCACCGAATTTTCATTCTGATCAAAACATAACAATAGCAAAGTCGTGATAAATACCAATACATGTGTATCGGTAGTTGGTATATACTGAGTAATTAGAATTAGGTGAAGCTTTACCTCTATCCTCCGGGGCCCTGATGTTAGCAATATGCACGTGCTCATGACGCTGACTGACCAGATAGGCGGTAAGACCTCTCAACCAATCACACCGCTCTCACCCCCATGCCATGCCCTCGGGCGATTGTCAACTTGTACAAAGTGGGCTGGCTCCATTATTTAACATCCTCTAAGATTTCTCCATGACTTTGTTTTTGGGAAAGAGAACATAGCTTCGGCCCTCTATATCGAAAAGTATCACCATGATGCCGCCTAGCAAGACCACCGCCGGTCTACTCCCAATTTCGGCAGCAGCTACGCAAAAGTCGGGCGCTGTAGCGCCCGCAAAGAAAACGCCCAAGCCTCCTGCTCCACGTCTCAAACTTCTCATTCGACGGTTGCCGCCCGGACTAACACAGGCTGAGCTTGAGAGTGCTCTCGGTGACAAGTGGAAAGCTGGGGCAGGAAACGTCGACTGGCTTCAGTACAAACCTGGCAAGGTGTCGAAAGAGTAGGATTCTCGCTCTAACACAATCTTCTGTTCATTTGGACTGATAGAATTCTTCATACAGTCCCAACAAGCCATCTCGCCCGTCAAGAGCATACATCCACGTTGTATCCACCGAATGTGTCTCTTCGCTCTCAGACGCCGTGCGCCAGGCTTCTTTCCAGGATGCTCGTAACACTCTACATGACCCCGTTCTACTTGGACCTCCGTCACTGGAATTTGCACCTTATGCTAAGACACCCGGAAGCCGGTCACGCAAGGATGCTCGTCAAGGCACGATTGATCAAGATTCCGACTTCATCGCCTTCCTGGAAAGTCTGACCCAGCCCATTACCAGGCCCGCAGCTGTGGATTCCACGGCTGATGGTGAGGACAAGAAAAAGGAATCCGTAATGACCACCCCGCTGGTACAATTCATCAAAGACAAGAAAGCCAGCAAGTCAAAGGACGGCAGTGGGTCCAAATCCAAGCACGGTCGACCGGACAAGGAATCAAAACAAGAGAAAGTACAAGCGAAAAAGCTTTTGCAACGGGGTGATAAGGAAATGGCTACAACCTCTTCTGACAAGAAGCCGAAAGGCGAAAAGACAAGCAAGGACTCTGTCAAGGCAACCAAGCAAGCTGCTGCTGCCAACGCCAAGGGAGGCAAGTCGAGTACCGCATCAAACACCGCAAAGGATACAACTACATTTCTAGAGCGGAAGAGAGAGCGCGGAAGTATCACAGTAGCCACGAAGATCCTTCAGCGTGACCTTGGACTCTCCACATCTGGTGGGCGACGCCGCGGCAAAGGTGGTTCGACTGATACTGCGTCACCCAAGAACGACAGCTCTCGTGACTCGGCTATTCCACCAGCCGATCTGCCTAAGAAAGAGACCACCAGGCCTCCTAAATCCGCATCATCCACAGCTAACACTCCAAAGCCCAAGGACAGCGATCCATCCTCGCGACCCGATGCGGCCGCGCCGCCTGCAACCTTACCAGCCAAGTCCACTAAAGGCGGCAAAGCCAAGCACCCATCAACTGCTAAACAAGCGTTCCTCAAGCACGCCAACCCCTCCCAGGGTGTGACCGAGGCACTCCTAGAGTCTGCATTCACCCCATTTGGGGCGGTGACGAAGGTCGAGATTGACAAGAAGAAAGGATTCGGCTATGTGGATTTTGCCGAACCTGAAGCACTTCGCAAAGCCATCGCCGCGAGTCCCGTGTCGGTTGCCCAGAGTCAAGTTGTGGTATTGGAGCGCAAAGAAAATCCAGGAATTGAAAAGTCGCGAAAAGGCCGCGAGGGCTTCGCTGCCAATAAAGTCAAGGCTCCTACCGAAGCTGCTGGAAGCGCTTCAGCTGGCGGTAATCCTGGAGGCAATGCTGGCTCCTCCCGTGGATCTCGTGGAGGGCGTGGGTCACGGAATAAGGGATCCAAGGGCAGTGCTGGAGCTTCGGAGAAAGCTGGAGGCACCGAGGCGAAATGAGGATGGCCAACTAGTTAACAGTTCACGAGATATGATACCCAACGGCATGACCTAACTACATGATGGACGTGGCAATGGATTTGATACACTATGATTAGCTCATTAAGCGAGTATCAACACAGTATTGTGAAATGATTCAGGTAGGTCAGGACAGCATTGCCAGAGTCCCAAGCGTAAAATCTGCATTGGGAATAACATCTTCATTACATGGGAACGAAATGCGGACCACCTATAGCTACAGGCTGATCAAGGTAACGAACTACTTGCAGTCTACACCAGCTTACGGAAGATGAGCAGAACCAAACTGAAATAAAGAGCCAGTTGAAAATATTAAATTCTTCTTATTTTTCATCTGCCAAAAACACCCCTCACAGAAATTCTTACCAACAACCGAAATGGAAGAGGACCTTTCAGACCTCCTCGACACCCACCAGGACCGACCGACCGAAGTCAGACGTCGAGACCAGGTCAAGATCATCACCACTTCCTGGACCGAAACACAGACACTGCGAACAGTACGCGTGACAGTCGAAGCGGAAGTAAAAAGGTTTCACTTTAGGGCATCGAGGACATGTAGTCATCAGCAAGGGTGGAGATTCTGTGGCTCTTTTAAAGAGTTTAGAAAGGGGACGTCTACTCTAAAGTGATTCTTTGAACTGTTGGGAGATTGTCAGCACAATGTTCAGATACAGTTGGAACTGTAGGGGGAGGGAGAACATACGTAGAGTCGCTTGAAAAAGAGAAGAAGGTTCGGGGTGCCGGCCTTATTTATATTCTTTGATACTCACGCTAACGCTAAGCGAGAGGGTCAATTGTTTGTCTATTTTGATCTGTTTGTTTTGTTTGGCATTACATGATGGGTCGTTAGTGGAGCATATTTAGTATTTTATCCAATCATATTCCAACCCATTTACCTAGAGTGGATTTAATATTAAATTTTTATTTTTCTTCTTGTTCTATTGGTCTACGGAAATATATGGATTATGTATGTTGTACTCTCATTTTTTATTCCTCCGTCTGGAAGGACTCTGTATCTCCATACGGAGGACTCCATTCTTTGTTTTGCTTTGGCAATGGTAGATCACTTTTGGCAAGGCTTCTGTTCACAGTACTTTTGAATGTTGCATATCCTAGGTAGTTCTACTAGTATCTGGATATATTACTATGGTGTGCATATCCTAAAAGCCCCCTGTTCCTGTTGCACCGGGCCTATCACACTTTGCAGTACTTTTACAATTTCTTCTAATGATTGCCAATAACAGAACGCTTCCATTTTTAAAAACTACATAGTAATTATCCTTCAGGTCTGTTCCGAAATACCTAGGTACCTGTAGACCGCACCCGCTTATCTCTTATCTCTTATCTCTTATCCCCTATACGCGGGGATCTCAACCTTGGAACCCCCAGGCTTGTTGACTCCCAAGTCTTCAACAATGCCACGCCCCAAGGTTCATCCAGCGAATCGGCTGCGAGCAAACACTGCATGTACTGCCTGTCGTGCATCCAAAAAGCGCTGCAGTGGTTATTTCCCATGCAGCAACTGTATTCACAAAGGACGTGACCGCTCATGCACTCCATTCAAGTCATTACCAAATGTAGGACTGCGGAGCCGCATTCCTTCTGAACCGGCAGTTGAGCCATCTCGGACACGGAGGGGAATTAGAGCCGATTTACAAAATCCCTTATCACAGTCCCATGACGTTGATACGTCCAATCCCGAATTTGACACACTGGAGGTGGGATCGCACTCGCCTGAAGTTACGCATCGGACGCATCCGCGCATGCTCCGTAACCTGCAAGGGGAACGAGGTATGGAATTTTGCGACCCTCATATACCATCATTTGATTGACTGTGTCTGCAGTGTACGTCGGGAAAGCTGCCTCTCTGTCATTTCTACAATTGCTTCGGGATACAGTGACCCAACATATCGGGCCCTCACAGTTCTCCCATAATGGTGGGAATGAGGATATGCTAGAGGAAGAAGCTCATCATGATCCATTGAATTTCTCCGAAGAATATTGCAATGTTGATGAAAAGAGCCAATTCATCCAAAGTTATCACGTAGCGGTAGGATGGATGCAAACTATAAATGGTGGATAAATCACTAACAACATGCAAGACAAGCGGATTTTTCAATTTGAGCTTTAGTAACGACATTTCATCTTCATTGATTGGCCCAGCAGAGCCCAAAACCGACCGGGAAAAGACTAGGGCGGCCATCATAGACCTTATGGTTGCTATTGGAGCACAATCCTGCCTAAAAGACCCAACGAACCTTCAGGTGGAGCGGTTCTACTTTGCTCGTGGCCAGCGTATGGCGTTCGCCAACATGTTGGAAGATCCCAGCATGGATTTAATGCGAGTATTTCTGCTCATGTCCTTCTATATGCTGGGCGCATGCCGTCGAAACACAGCATTCATGTATCTGGGAGTGGCTTCACGAGCGGCAGTGGCGCTGGGCTTTCATGCAGACTCTCCAGGGTCAATAAGCCCCAACGAAAGTGGTGGGAGCAATGATCGGTAAAAGCTTCTCGCAAGATATACTTGACCCAGCTAATCCCCCAATAGATCACGACTATGGATGAGCTTATGTGTTCTCGATTTGCTTGTTAGTTCGATTCTCGGAAGACCTTCTGCTATATCACCTCTATTGCCCGAGAATCGACAAAAGCTTAGCTGGATTGGAACCGTACCGACCGATTCTAGCCTGGTGGCTTCGTATCAGTTATCCTTGATCCTGGACGAAATAATAATATGTCTTTACAGTGAAAAGGCTGCATCTGCGGAGAAAGCAGACCTGCTATTATGCAAATTAAACAGCTGGAGTGAATATCTGCCACGATCTCTAAGGACATCATCTTTAGAACACAAAGATCAGGGCACTTTCCAGGAGCATACAATTGGAAGCATGCACGTTGCATGTTCATATCATTTTGCAGTGATTTTAGTCACCCGACCTTTCCTCATCTCGGCCTTGAGTGTCCAGCTGACCCAGTTACACCACAACCTCTCGACCGGGGATCCCTGCAGTGAGATGCCCAAGGAAGACCCAGCCCATTCTCGGCTCGCAGCGGCATGTATTGATTCTGCTGTGTATATGCTCCAGACTTGTCTAGAGGTTCATAAATCCGGTTTTCTTCTTCGGAATATGTGTATTCTCAAGTTCGTCTACGCAAGTACACATTTGATAACTCAATACTAACATCAAGCAGAGCTTTTATCTTTGCCGCAGCCCTTGTTCTCGGATTCTCTATGTTCTCCCACCGTGACGTGGATTCTGAGATCGATGATGTATTCCGTGGTGCTCTGACCATCTTACGCATGCTGGCATCGCAGTCCGCCCAGGCAGCTCACTACCTAGAGATAATAACAATGCTACAGGCAGCTATAAATGAACAACGCCAGCGACTTGCAGCGCAAGCTCGCCAGCGGCGGAGTCAATATGTCAGTCGGATATTTAGTTTGAACGATACCCCAGCAACACCACACACACAAACTGAGGGAGACGACGAAGAAGTGAGAACTGCGACCACAACTCGACCGCAGAGTCTCACATCATACCCGTTGTTGCATTCGGACGATGGCGCCGCTGCGACTGTGACACCCTCCATGATGGATGGAACTTTGTTTGACTGGGAGGGCATGGATTTACCGTTATGGGATAGTTTCCCATTTCTTGCCGAATCGACTACAATATGATATAAAATACATATACTAGGCAGGCATATAGCGTATAACGCTACTTATTAGATACGTCCACTAGTTTACTCGGATTTGACGAACTATAATGCTTGACGGGACTGCATCACTATCTATGCTCTCAAAAATGAGGAAATGCGAGATATAGATTCGATGTCTTCTAAATAGACGACTTCACAGTTGGAGTCAAGAAGCCAGGAGGGTAAAGATTTGAAGTGTTCCAGTAGAGCTGATAAATATCGCCAACTTCCGTCTCCTTCAGACGGAACGAATCGTACAAAAGTCCATCTTCATTTTGCCACATGAGATACCTCCCATAAAAAAGAAATTGATCAACATTTGCATCGTCTGGTGTATCAACATCGTTCCCAGTGAATCCCACAGGTAGCACCTTATTGGATGTTGGACGGACGTAGAGGAATGTGTCAGCGTCAAAGGTGTAATCTTTGTTAGTGGCCGTGGCAATGATTTGGGAATCTTTGAAGACGACTAGTAGAGGATTAGCAATTTTCCTGTTCAAAGACACAGTTAATGATGTGGAAGAGAAATATAAACCCTACATGTAACGTCGGTCGTCACCGATCCAGACACCCACTGAGAAGAGTCGCCGACATATGCGAGTCCTAGGAATCAGGTCAAATGGGGCATCAGACTCATGTGGGAAACCATAGTTACCATCAGAATAAAAAACGTTGATCCCCTCAGACGCGACACCGTAAGCAAGAATCGAGAATGATCCCGTTGGATAGCGCGTTTGCAGTTCTGACTGGGAGAGTGCAGCCATGGCTTGCAAGGCCAAAGTCATGTTGACCCATAAGATATCTAATCTCATTGGAGATAATTCTGGGAAGAAGATCTGGGGAAGGCTAGGTGTACAATTGAGCAGTTATATCTCATTGTCAGACAACAGGGTGACGCGGTCAGACCCTGCATTTGCTGACACTTGGCCTAACTGTGTAATAATAGCATAATATATACTTATATATTTTTTCTCTTTTCTTTAACATATTATAAACTTAATACCCTTAATACCCTCAAATTAAGGCCACTCTACTCGGTTATCGAGGGTGATCTTGGGCTATTGCTATATAGCACTTCCTGGCAGAATAGGCGCTCAGTCAAACTAGTCCTATAAACTAAGAGTACTATACACTGTAACCGTATCAACCCTCTAACTGACTGCTTATTGTAATAACTGAGGAACTAATTTGACTTGATGTGCGAACAGAAATTGTTTCCTGGAATTGGGTATTCTATCATTGAAGTTATAAATCAAGCTGCCCATGCATTCTGATACGGTGCGTTTCTTTTTTCAATGAAGACCCAAGTTCTGTATCCACCACTCTCTATCCCATCAGTTATTTTTCGTAAGCCAATTCAATCCGCTGACCAAAGCTTCCTTTTGCTGAGGCGAGAAATTAACTGGTTCTTTCGATTGGAGATGTTGCAGGAATTCTTGGACCGTTACCACATCTTCACGTGGCTTTCGTGTTTCCGTGCTCATGTCGTAATTTATAACCATGTAAACGAGCAAGTCTTTATCGGAGATGTACAATAGATCATCGCTGTCCTTCTTTCCAGTCTCTGCGGTTGATGTCTTTTGTGGGACGTAGGGTAACTTGGATAAGTGAGCATGTAAAAATAACGGGGTGGTATTAATAGTGTTCACTCACTATTTCCTTGGGTACGAATTGAAGGAATACGGTGCTCTTGATATCCTCATCGGATATAATGACTTGGAAGAAACTGAGGGATTGCTAAAAACTATGGTGCTTCGACGATAGTCCCAATTTCAACTTGAATAGATCCGAAGCCCCGGAGGGAAGCTCGTGCACTCGATCATCAAAACCATCTCCAAGAAAGACGAGATGAGGTAGTAAATTTTTAGATTCTCTGAAGCAAATGATGGTCTTCTTATACCTGTGGAATAGTACCTGAATCAAGATATTAATTTCATTAGGTCATTTGACTCGACCAGCTCTTTGACTCGACTGGCCTCCCATATTAAATGTAAATATAAAATTAGTATTTCTTTCATATTATGAACTGCTAGGAAGAGATTGGTGTGTGGCTATGGTGTTTTTTTATTAGGAACAAAGACACCAGTAGATTTTTTTTAAACTAGAGGAAATTTACACCGTTTCTCACAAGTCTCGTTTCAAAGTTTCTTTGATAGAAACGGGTGTTCATACAGAACGTCTCTCGTGAGCATACGTGCCGAGGGAGGAAAAAAAGAATCAGAAAAGAAAGAAATCAGATAGTACAGTGTCTTCGGAGACGACAAATATCACGATTCCACATGATGGGATCTCAAATCCCTTCTAATATGCAGTCTTTCCTTTCTTCTCGTATGCCAGGCTATTATCAAAGTGTTCAAAGAAACGAACAGAATGAGCAGTTCACTCTCCACTTTGTAAATTTCACCAGGGTGCAGTGAGGTAGACTAGCGGTCTGTATTGTATCATATTTTAGAATAATTTTACAGTGAAAATGTGTGCCGGATTAGGCTGTCCAGGTGTTGGATTGGGGGAAATTTCTTAGATACATTTCCACGCACAAAGAAATCGATCAGATAGGCATCTAAGCTACTTGATGGAGAGAAATAGATATTGAGAGGTAATAACTTCCGATCGTCTCCCCAATTTTGCCCCTTTCACTCATTTCCTACTAACTACCTAATTCACATCCTCGAGCCTTATAGGTAATAGGCCCCGGGTCAAGAGCAAGGGGTGTCTGCTTTGGCCACAGTTCCTGTATGGCAGATTTTGCTGCTATGATTTGACAGAATTTTGCGGCAAACTAGGCTTGTTGTAGAAGATTGAGTTGATCAGTAGTCCAGTATCTGCACCCCACTCCATCTGCACCAAATTCATATTTGTGACGCCCGTTCTCAATAAGCAAATCGTAAATCCGCGAGACAGAAAGTCCGGATGTGACATCGATAATGGATTCGGCTTAGGCATCATCGGGCACCATATGCATCAACTCAGAAACAATGAAATTGGCTTTAGAACCCCCTCGAAGCACGGTGCTTGGGGCACTATAGCTTGGCTGACAATCAATTTGGACAGATTTCTCAGGGGATACCAAGAGGTAGAGACATCAATGGTTGGTTCCCGCATTTTGAGTATATGGCACAGCAAGTATTTGTTTCACAGAATGCTCCGGGGTGATAGACATGTCTGAAATCGCTTACACTAGCCTATGTAAACTCTCTGTGGTCAGGTTTTAAAGCGGGATGGGCAATGTTGCATGTTGATGTGAGAAGAGGGTGAATAGAAGAGTAAGATTGAGAAGAGGGCCAGAGCCAAGGAATGTGATGTGACATGGATCAGAACAAACATATCAAATATATACGATATGCTCATCTTCAGAGTACATGTAGTTACGACGTGTGTATAGAGCCGTTAGAATAGTACGGTAGAAATATATATTTCACATTCGATAACTTTTCATAATCAGTCTTCTATTTTGAAATTGATTTTGCATGTATTTACCATAAATAAATTAGGAGATTAATAACACACATATACCCCCATATTTACAATGTAACAAAAGCTTCATTCCAAGGTTGATATCACTATACTACCAAGTTGCCTTTTTTCACTTTATATTTCTCTCCCACTCCTAATCTAATACATACGACCATAGGGTGTGGAAAACAGGGCTTCCCGTCCGCTCAGCCGTACTTAAGCCACACGCCGGTGAGTTAGTAGTTGGGTGGGTGACCACCAGCGAATCCTCACTGTTGTATGTTTTTGTGTTTTTTATTTGCAAATAAAGCTGGGATACGAATAGTTGGCTGTATAAGCGGATCTATGAACTCTTTTTGGTCTTTTCAGTGGTCTTTTCAGTGGTCTTTTCAGTGGTCCTTTCAATAGTATGCCTAGTGGCCTTTTCAGATATCATCCTATTTAAGTAGGTCGACGGCAAGAAGAAAAGGCGGAAAAAGGCTTTGTGCAAACGACTTTTCCATGTATAACTTTGATATTTGACTACTGCACTGTCCTGGACAGCGAACCCCCCATTCCGTCCATATGCAGAGTTGGGGGACTCCTTCTGGGTCCTTCACGCCCACTGCACCAACGAGTTCCGATCAGGAACTATGATGTGTTCCCTATCCCTATGAAGATCAGCACCCTGCCCGTTGGGGTCCATCTCCTGAACCTTCCAAAGGTCAGGGAGACAGGAAGAGATTCCAGTGAGGGAGCTGCTACGACGATCGACCACTCATTACACTGGCTAACGCCTAGACGAGCGGATCGGCAGCAAAGCCGCAAATGTTGAATCGATTTTGATTCAGCTTGTGGGAGAAGTTTCCCAACAAGAGTGCACTAATTGTCTGCAAAACAATGGTTCCTGGGCTAAGTGCGCCCGTTTCCACGATATCGATCGCGTCGTTACAGCATGTGGAAACTGCCAGTGGAATGGGTGAGCCGTCCGCTACAGTTTCTTTCCATTGCCCCTCGATCCCGAAACTTCCCGGGGCCACCAACGGAACCGTTCCTCCCAATCATCGTTGGAAATTCGCCTCCTCACCCATCAGGAGCAGGCTGAAAGCGGCCTAACGGCAATCCAAAGTCTAGAGCAGCAGGTTCGGCAAATGCAGATGGAGGTCGGCTTAGACGATTCCCGAAATGCCGCCATCCACAGTGCCATCCAAGCGGACAACTTCCCTGACCTTGTCGTCCCCGCTCGGTCATTTATCCCACAAGCCACGGTGGAGGACCACCAGGCACAATTTGATCATATTCTCGCGGTGATCAACGATATCTAGGAGTGGTTGCAACAATTCAACGCACTTGACCCACTCAAGTGTGGGAGTTTTTTTCTTAATATTTTACTTTTTGTTCGTTTTCTTCTTTCTTCTTAGCTGTATAAATAGCGGGAAGGGCGCTGGTGCCTACACTGCTTCCACTGGAGGGGTTCTTCCCTCCGACTTGTGTTTGTACTTTTCTAATCCACCTACTTAGTTACTTTGTTACCCTTCCATCACATAGAGTGATCTTGTAGAGTGCATCAGCGGTGGTAACAAGAAGCCGTGGGATATCAGATGAACGATCCCATGCCGAGCGACCTTCTCCAGTGGGCTGATGTGTAGCCTCTAGCATATAATTATCTATTTGATATGCATATAGTATATATGCCGTAGCATCAAAATTGCTACGCTATATACAATACAGATATCTATGGTCTAAAGAGCCTTCAACTTCTAGAGTTGAACGTTGGTTTCATCCCTTTAATTACAAAAAAGTCGCCTGGAGGCTACCGAAGGAAGCGATGTGGACGAAATCAACGAGTTGGTCAAAACGATACCAGTCCAATCCAACTCTTTCACCTTTCGTTCCGTGATGTTCCGAAACCAAGAAGCCAAAACCCAAACCAAACAAAAAGTAATAAAAAGTAACAGAACAATATAAAAACAAACAGAACCTAGGCAGACGCCGGAAGCAGGGAGGGCAGCCTGCCTTGGAAAGGGGATAAGCGGATCCATTATGGAAGTGGTTGTAATAAAAGACGCAGTGGAACAAAAAAACGAAAGGAGGAAGCAAGCTGACCCTCCACCCCGTCGACTTCAGAAAGTCAGGGGAGGCCGGGCGACTCCTTAGCTTCTGGAAGGTTTAGGAGATGTACCCTAGGGTGGGGTGATGAGCTCGAGTGTTCCCAGCGGCCTAGGATTGTTCCATGTATGGAACTCGTTGGCAGTAGCCGGTGTGAAAGAGTTGTCTGACTCTACGAAGTGTTGAAGTAGGGGTGCATTGCTCAAGACAGTCTTGTAGTTGC